CAGTCACGAAAGCTTCAAATCAAGTTAATCATTAGAAAAAATTGTAAATCACTTCTGCTTTGCTGGACTTATTAATCCAGATCTCTATAAAAAAATATAGACTTCTACTCTCAATGGGCTCTCACCAAGCTATAAAGGCCAATCTATGTTATCTATCTTGCGCACTCGTGATAATCTAGGTTATTAGAGTTGTGCATTCATAAAAGTACTGGCTGGTACGTCTACGGGCTTCTATCTGCACACACCTATTCTGCGCTGCTACACTTAATTAAATCCAGGTTTCCCTCCCTGGAAAAACAGACTTGTGCTCTCAATGGGCTGTCATCTGTTCAAAAAGTAGAAGTCATCTCTGATGTTATCTCTTTAATGGACATGAGGCTGACCAGGCGCCCCAGGAGTGAGCCACCCACCCGTCCAGCCCTGTGCGTTTTCATGATTGACGTCGGCGTTGTAGCGCAGCAGCACCCGCGTCGACTCCAGGTGTCCCAGTGCCACCGACAGGTGCAGAGGGGTCCTACCCCGAGGGTCCACCGAGTCCAGATTGCTCTGATGATACGCACACACGCGTGCACACGCGTGAACATACGCACACACATATATCTCCTGTAGAGTCCTAATAGACCGTTTTAGCAGGTGGTGAGCACTAATGAAGGGTGGCACAATGCACAAGGGAGTGGAATGTCTTGCACCACGCTCGGCCACCTTTGTATCCCCAGTGTTGATGTTTATACACTGCACCAGGTACATGTTGAAGTCTGAGTCAACCTAGTGTCGGCCCAGCACAGGTTAAAATAATCCACACTTGATGTGAAGCCATGGCCAGGAATCAATCAGTGATAGCCAGGTTCTTAAGTGCAGCCCACTAACCACTATCTTGTTACATACAGTATACACAAATGTGCGTGCACACATACAGCGCTTAATGTGGCTCGCTCTCAGTTGCCAAACCGAATCAGGTGTTCTCACTCCTCCACGAATGCAGCCATGACAGCCCTTATAAAACGCGCATAGGGAATGCCGTCTTGTGCCTCCTGTCTGCGAAGAAGGTTGTTTGGGTCTGCCCAGTTCCCTCAAGCAACGCATTCCTGGCATCAGTGCTGACGGACATACCGATCTTAGGCAACCCCCTCACATCTTGGCTCCTCTGAAAACGGGATCAACCACTTGAGATGTAACTCCTGTGCTTTATGTTACACCGCACTGTCCCATCTCAATGGTAAAAGGCGCTTTTTGACAACACGTGTGCAATTTCCATTTGGTGTTCATATTGGTGTTTGTATGATGGCTGCCTAGGGCTTGACCCACACAGGGTGCCGTGCATGAGGACAACATGGATGCAAGGGACAAGGGTGCGGGTGTTTATGTAACACCATTTTTGTTCCTAGGTAGTAAGTATTCTTTTTTTAATTGCTTATGCCTAAAAAGTATAGAAAATGGCTATTATTCCCCACAAAATTTGCTTTTGTGACCAGGACTTTATTTGAAGGAATGACACAAATACACACGTTTTCTCATTGAAAACAGATACATTTCTAAATATCAGTCCTGGTCACAAAAGCAAAGTTTGTGGGGAATAATAGCCATTTTCTGTACTTTTGAGGCATAAGCAATTAGGAAATAACACTTACTACCCAGGAAAAAAAAAGTGTTACACAGTGAATTATCACCCTGAATGTGCCCAATCCCATCACATTTCAGAACCAGGATGGAGCCTGGTTAGTACTTGGATGGTGGACTGTACAGGAATATAAGGTGTTTGTTGGCTTGGTTTTGGAGACGGCCCAGAGATATCAGTATTATTATTATTAATCTCTCCTCTCACCTGGGAGATAGGAATCGTATCCAATTTCCCCTTGTACGTGTGAAGGGTTATTTCCAGGTACTCTGGTCTCCTCCCACTTGCGAAACACTCATTCATAGAATTGGCCAAACATCCCAAAAAGCCCAGACAACTAAAAGAGTATCAAGAGTCAGTGAGGACTTCCTGGGGAAATAAAAGCCATTATTACTAACCCAGGCAGGTTGGTAGAGTTATGGGTGACCGGCTGGGTGTGGTGCAGGGTGACCTGTCACATGGGTAAGGTGCGAGGTGTTTGTTCAAACATCGAGGTATGTCCGACACCAGCAGAACCCCTTCGAGTGGTCAGTAAGAGTTTATTGATTTCAGCTAAGTCTAGTAAAGTTTTCACAGCCTACAGCCATGACCTTTCCACCTGCACTGATGCACCGTGCAATGCTCTGTTCTAATTCCACTAGTCTTTGTTTGATTTACTCAATAACCCAGGAACCAGCTGTGCGCTCATACAGGCAACAAAAGATGCAGCAGTGCGTGGTCTGGTTAACCAACCACAAGGAAAACACCACTTTTGAAAATGCCAGCGGAACCGAGCGGTGGGGCATCACTGAAGCAAGTCACCAGGGGCACCGAACACGCTGCAAATCCGGATGAGCTTGGGTGAGAGGTGGTTAAATATTTATGAAGGGGAGATTTTTTTTTTTACAAATAACCCGCACACATTTCCAGGTTTAAGTCACTGCAGAACTATTTGAATAGCAAAACTAAAACACGAACAAAAATGTCAAAGTGACAGAGGTGTGTTAAAGATAGAGGGAAGGGTCAGTGATTGGTTGGCTCGTTGATTAGAGGTTTAACGATCACTCGTGTATGAATGACTATTTTTTCGATTTAAAGCTTTCGTGACTGCAATGATTCATCTTCTTTGGTTCTTTCGGTGAAGTCATTCTCATTCTACGTGACTTTACCGAAAGAACCAAAGAAGATGAATGACTATTTGTTTAGAAATAGGGGCACAGCCAGTATTAGTGCGTGGATGGTTTGATTGGTTAATGGCAATAATTAGGACTAGGGGCTGCGTGGCTTGTTTGTGAGTGGTAGGATTAGTAACTGTGTCTAGTTGGTTACGGTCTGGGTTCGTACTCATGTCTGATTGGAAAGTTGGTTATGGGTAGGTCAAGTACAAGTCCAGTTAGTTAGGCTTAGTACTCATATTTAGTAGGCAATATGGTAGTGCTTACAGGGTTGGACAAGCACTTGATACACTTGTGTGCTCCACCCACTAACTGCTCATCCTGTTTCGCCATTGAAACTCGTTTCCGTATCAGATTTGCATGATCTTCACAGCTGACATAGCACCGTACATGGCCTCTGACAGTGCCAACAGTGATCCGTGGACTGCCATGCTCCCCACCTTCACCAGATGTACAAATCGTGGCCAAATAACCCTCATGACCAGCAAAGCGTGGCGAGGAATCTCATCAAGCAGTAAATTGACAGAGTGGCGTGTGTTCGATATCTATGCATGTTTATTAATATCCGGAGAGAGCAGACCTGTGCATAATTGTAAGTAACCAGGAGCATTGTTCAGCAAGTTGGGGTCTCCATCGCTACTGTCATGCGTCCTCTCCCCATCTATAACTGCAACAGTGCGAACTGTTATGAATTCTCTTCTGATGCGTCGCGTTAATTTTATTTTCGTCTGCCTGTAAACACAGGCGAGGCGATCGCACCCCAGCGCCTCCCTCGCACGTAGCCGTGCGAATCGCGTCTCTTCTTGCGTGTAAATACTGTGCAGAAAGTGGTGCTTGGGAAACCTGCAAGTATCTCCAATGTCGACGAATCAACAAGATCTCATTGTGTACATGGCCAGCCATTGATCACGACACAGATTTGCCTCGTCGATGTGTTTGTTAATCGCGGCTCTTCCTGTGTGTAAATACTGTTGCGGTAATTTGTCAACCAGGTCTCCATTGGCAATGTGTCAAAATTATTATCTTGTACATCCACGAGGGAAAAATTCTATAGCCCAGATATTCCCATTAATTTTGTCAACGGGGTACATTGTGTGTAGTTAAGGAGAGGTATTTATTATCTCAGATCACCCTCGTCAATGTGCTAATTATCACATGGGAATACCGTAACGACATTTGCACCACAGTTGCCCCTTGCCACTATCACTTGCGTGCTCCCCTCTGTGTATGATTCATTTAAAATACAGAAGCTTGACTTGCCAACACAGCAGCTCTCTGCCTTTGTCGTTTATCGGCTTTATAATTTCAAGTCTCCATTTCAAGTGCCATTCGCATCTCTTCCGGGTAGCAATACAGGAGCAGTTAAGTGACAAGATCTCGCCGAATATCGTGTCAAGAGGGAATAACAACAGAATCACCTGTGAATTAAGTACAGAGATTCATTACTGAAGGCCTCCCCCCTAGGCATTGCGAACACAGGATGTGTGTGTGAAGGCAGGAGAGAAGGTAATGACTAACACTGACAGGTCACTTCACCAATGGCAACGCGCTCTCCCTTACCTACGATTACAAAAAAAAAACAGCGTGACCTGTCATCCCAGCATCTCCATCGCCATTGCCCCGTCATCACAGTTATCAACCACAGCGCGCACGGGGAGAGGTGGCCTGCGACGAAGCCTCGAGAACGCCCGGCCTCGCCTAGCCGCGCCGCCGGGTCCCTCGCGCCTCGACCCCGCGGGGCCTTAAAACTCCGCACTTTCCCGCGGGGAGGGGGGAGATCGCGGCCGCCGCTCTCTGAAATCCGCAGCGCGGATGCGCGAAATCTCGCTCGCAATTGGTCGAGCGGGGCACCACGTGAGCCACCGCGACCAACAGCGCGCAGGGCGGCGGACAAAGCGCGTGGGAAATGTAAACGCGGCAACGGCCGTGGGCCCCGCGTTCGCGCCGCTCCCCTCACCCGGTCGCCGCTGAGGCGCCGCTCGAGCTCGCCGAAGCCGTTGCGCCACACGAGCAGGTGGAGCGGGAAGTGCTCGGGCTTGTTCCTGTCGGCCGAGCTCATGGCGGCGCGGGCTCAGAGGCAGCGGCCGTGGCGCGTCCCCCCCGCGTCTTCCGCCGCGCTCCAGGGCGGGCCGCGCGGGCGAGACCAACTCGGGATAACCGGCGACACGCGGGGGGGGGGGGGTGTTGGCGAGTGCTTCAGTTTACGCTTCGCAGCAACGCCAGTCCTATGAAAATGTCGGCAATCGCAACGCGTAACCTTTAGACTGAGATGATTAATGATAAGACTTTGAATGAACGCGAGGGGTGCGATTGCTTGTCAGCGGGTGTTGGGTGTCCGTGCGTGTGGGCAGTATGCCCCCCCCACCCCTGCGTTGGTGTAAGTGGTGCGGTCCGCGCAACCCCCGGTGTGGGACGCGTCCCCACTCACCGTGCATCCTTCTCGCCCTCTTCATCCGCATCCTCAACATCCACATCAGCAGCAGCAGCAACAAGCAAGCGGCTCTTTCATCAACATCATCATCGCCATCGTATTATCCGTTTGGTCGTCGGTCTGTAAATTCCGTTCATATTCTCAGCGGGAGCTGAAGGCCCCGCCCGCCAGCTCGCTCGCTCGGCCAGATGTCGAGGAAGATGACGCGCGCCGAGGTGTGCGCAGACTGCAGCGCGCCAGGTACAGCCCCGCTGTGATGGCGGTGGTGGCGATGCGGGTTACCATGATGATGATGGTGATGCTGGTGATGGTGATGATGGTGATGCTGGTTATGGTGATGATGGTGATGCTGGTTATGGTGATGATGGTGGTGCTGGTTATGGTGATGATGGTGATGCTGGTTATGATGATGCTGGTGATGGTGATGATGGTTATGATGATGATGGTGATGCTGGTTATGATGATACTGGTGATGCTGGTTATGATGATACTGGTGATGCTGGTTATGATGATGGTGATGCTGGTTATGATGATACTGGTGATGCTGGTTATGATGATACTGGTGATGGTGATGCTGGTTATGGTGATGACGGTTACGAGAATGATGGTGATGCTGGTTATGATGATACTGGTGATGGTGATGCTGGTTATGGTGATGACGGTTACGAGGATGATGGTGATGCTGATTATGGTTACGATGATGCTGGTTATGATGATGCTGATGATGGTTACGAGGATGATTCTGGTTACGAGGGTGATCATTTTGTTGATCGTGGTGGTAATGATGGTGATAGTGGTGATGATGATAGTGGTGATGGTGATAGTGGTGGTGGTGGTGATGATGGTGGCGATGATGATTGTTGTGATGGTAATGAAGGAGAGAGTGATAGTAGTGGTGATTGTGGTGCAGTTTCTGGCGCGCCCTGGCTTCTGCAGCAACAACAGAGACCTCAGCTGTAGTGGCAGCGTCTCCATCATTAGCATTATCAATACAGTAGCATTGTTAACAGTAGCAGCGTCATTATAAGAAGCAGAAATAACATCAGCGTTGCTAGCAGAAGGAGCAGTATTCGCATTAGCAGCAACAAAAGCATCAATCATCAGCACTACCACCATTAGCATCTTTCGCATTCACGCGCCACATCCCGTTGTCTTTCCCAATGATCTGCTTCCACCTCCTCTCTCACCCCGCACCTACCACCACCTCTTCCACTTCCCCTATAATTACTGTTCTGTTACCACTTCCCCTACTAACACCTCCTCCACCACCCCGACCACCACCACCACCGTCCTCCACTTCTCTTACAACCAATACTACCGCCGCCACCTCTTCAACCTCCCCTGCCACCTCCTCCACCTCATCTCTGTTCCACTGTTGCTGCTGCTGCTGCTTGCCCTGGCTGCGCCCGGGGGGAGGGAGCGTTGAGTTCCATTGTCGTGGGCTCGGGGTGCAGGGGCCTTGCCTGCGCCGGGCCTTGACCGCCGCTCATGTGATGTTTTATTTACCGGGGGCTTTATCAAATGTTTTGTGTTCGTGATGGGCATATCGGCTCGGACACCCCGTGCCAGGCTGTGTGGTGATGGGAGGTGTGTGGTGGTTGTACGGGGCTGGTGGGGCGCTGTGTGCGCGGGGAGTGGGTTTTGTGGCAGGCAGTCAGTGGCTGTGGTTTGCAGTGATGGGGTGTGTGGTGGTGGTGGTGTATTTGGTGAAGGGGTTGTATGGTTCTGTTGGGGTATTCTGTGGAACATTGCGGCTTATGTGATGATGGTAAGGCGTGAAGTGTTGGTGTGGGGTACTGTGTGTGAGTTGGTGATGTGTGTGTGCAGGTCATGGAGTTGATATGGTACTGGTTGATTGTGTGTGTTGGCGGGGTGTGTGGTAGTAGTGTATGTATGTTGGTGATGGGGTTTAAATGGTTCTGGTAGACTGTGGGGAGTTTGGTGGGGTTTGTGTGTGATGGTGACACGGGTGTGGGTATTTGATTTGGTGATCTACATTATACAGTTTGTAGCCATCTCCCACCTTTAGATTTTAAATGCATATTTTTTCACAACTCCAAGCCATGACAAAACTCTCACCCTAGCTCTAAACCAACCCTAGCAGATCACTGCTTCATCAGCAAGAAGAATTACCCGGGCGTGTGCTGGTTCCGTGTTTGTGTGTGGTTAACGTGGTGGCTGGGTGTTTGATGGTGATGGTCACATACTGCGTGTGGTGGTGGTTGGTGGATGGGTGTTTGATGGTGTTTATGTTTTAGTGACATGGTGGCGGGGTTCTGGGATACTCTGCGTTGAGGGCCAAAGTGATGGTGGTGATGTGCGTGTGTGCTTGTTGTGGAAAGCATGGTGGTGTTTTGAGTTGTTATGGTGGTAGAAGATTTCTGTTGGTCAGGGATTGTGATGGTTGTGGGGTGTTTGGTGGCATTAGGATTCTGGTGGTGGTGGTAGAGGGGTTATTTTATTACTATTTGGGTATATTTGATGACAGCGGGGTGTATGATTGTGGTGGTTGAGAGTTTTTGGTGATGGGGTGTATGATGGTGGTGGGGTGCGTGTTGGTAGCGGAATGTATGGGTGGTGTATGTGTTTTGTGTGGTGGTGGTGGTGTGGTGTTTTGTGTTGATGTGTGATGATGATTGTGTTACGAAGTTGTGTCCTGGCTATCCCACATGAAACGGCGCAAGGTGAGGGTTTGAATATCGCTCTATTGAGACTCTTCGACCGGCAGATGTTTCCTGTTGCGGTTTTTAGAGCAGAGAGGGGGAACTCTGTGGGTGTGATGAGGTGCGAGCATCAAGGCCATTGAGCTCGCAGCTGCCCCGTGACTAAGGTCACTCACTCTCCAGTGTGGTGGATGCCCCGGGGGTACATCAGCCCATGATGGTGCTGACCCTTGGCATACAGTCGCCCCGCACACACGTGTGTAGACGCAGTGGCAGCTTTCTCAACCACAGCCCAAGCAGCTCCGCGGAATCACTCGGCTGCCTGCCACAACTCCTGATTCGATAACACATTCAAGCATTCTCTCAAGCGAATGGGAAAACCCATCAGCCGGAAAAAAATCATGTGTCCAGGCTGGAATCAATGATGATGAGATGATAAGCATTACAAAAAAGGTATTCTAGGCAGTGAACGCACAACGGCAAGTCCCATTGTGCTTTTTGCACGTGCAAAGATGAAGGCACCATTCTTGCGTGTATTCTTCACACAGCGTTGTTATTCAGTGCAATGGCCGGGCTGCTGTGTAGCTGAAACAAGAGCCTCAAGCTCATTAGGGCTGTGGCCACGGCCCATGATCCTCACCCCAGGGCAGTTTAGCCACTCGGTCGGTGAATGTGACGGAGTGGGAGGAACAAGGAGCCACGGGGGTGGTGGGAATGCTTCATGCAATAGCCCCTGCCCCTCCATTTTCTGACAAGCTTCCCGGCAAAATAAAAATAAAGGACAACCAATACAGTAGTGTTGCAGGAAGTGAGGACTTTTGTGTTGTGGATGGGGGTTGGTGGCAGAGCTGCGGCACTGAGCACCGTGTGGCCAGAGAGGAGGAGCCATTGTGCTGGGTGGCTGAGAGGGTGGAATTGTTTTGGTGCGATGTGTGTGGTGGAAGTGGGGTGGGGGGGTATGTGTGAGATGATTTTTGGATTTTAATTATGGTCGAAGGTTGTGTGGTGGTGGCAGAGTGTTTGGGGATAGTGGGGTGTATGGTGGTTAGATGTGTTTGGTAGTAGTGGGTTGTGTAGTGAAGGCTCTGTGTGTGGTGGTGGAAATGTATTGTTATGTGAGTATGGTGTTAAGGTGTGTGGTAGTAGAGTGTGTGTCGTGGTTGTCTTTGGTAGTGGAATTGGGGCGTGTGGTGGTTCGTGGTGTGTGTGTGGTGGAAGTCTTGCGTACATTGTGTTGGGGTGTGTATGTTATTTGGGTGTTTATGGTAATATTAGAATGTGTTTAGTTGTAGTGGTGTGTGTAATGTTAGGTATATGATGGTCGGGGATCTTATAGTCGAGTGTATGGTGGTAGAATAGTAGTGGTGGTGTGCACATTTTGTTTCGTTCTCAAACCATCGGGAGTGCCATTGTGGATTTGCAGGAAGATCAAACAGTGGACAGATCGGTTATGAAGGAATCATTCTACCATGAAGGAATCATTCCTTACGCGAGCTGCTTTCTTGAAATTGCTTGCTCACAGCTGGTTAACGAAACAAATGGGAATAATTGTTTCCCAATGTCTACCTTGCCAAACGCACAACCTGACAGTGCTGAGAATTCGTTTGGGAGTCAGAACTAAATAATCGCATGCAACAAACAGCTTGGCTAATGATGTGAAAAGTTGGCTGCAAATTATTTTTGCTTTGAGGTTTGCGATAAAGGCGCTGAATAATGAATGAATTGCCGTTTATAATTCATCGCGTGGGGGAGACCGGGACCACGCTGCCCATTATTAAGCCGCTTTCCCCGAACGAATTAAATGAGCGGCGCTGCAAACCCCGCAGTCGTTAAGCGCACGCGTTGCTCAAGAGCGGCGCGCGCTCTTTGAAGAAGGTGACGACTCGTGTCAGGCGCGCCGGTGGTCACCGCGTGGACGAGCGCAGACGCGCCGAGCCACTTGCACGCCGTCACCTCCGCTGTCCACGTCCGCCCGTTACAGTACCGCGGTTGCCTGACCCCCTTGTGAACGCGCTCAGCGTAAAGGCCAGTAGGATGTGGTGGCCTCCTCGGAGTAGCCTTTGTCTGGGTCTCCTTTGTTAGAGCCACTCGGCAGAGCCGGCCCGTGCCAAGTGCTAAAAGTCACCGGGGCAGGCCTGGAACTCATTAGCGCTGCACACAGAGCCGCCTGTTTTGCTCGTGACGCCCCCTTCCACCACCCCCCACCTTGTCAGGACAGCGGGGGGAAGTATGGTTCGCTCGACGGCAGTGCACTCTCCGCTTGAGTAACCGAGGCCTCTGTCAAAGCCGCCTGTCAAAACCGCCAGTCAATCTCCACTTAGTGGGAGGTTGCTGCTGCTCTGCTGCTGCCCTCGCAGTCTTAACGTCCCCCCCTGGCTGTCTGCATGACTAATTCTATCCATCCTCTCACATCCAGACTAAAGACCTTCCTCTTCTCCTCCGCCTATGACCAACAGTTTCTATCAGTCCATTGTCTTGATCAGCACAGTGATCATCTTGTCCAGCTCCCTGCCCTCCCTAACTTATCCACTTCACGGAAAGAAAAAAAATCCCTGAGCTTTCTGCACGATCTGATAATGCGCTCGTCTTGCGTTCTGTGCAGTGTCTTGAGATGCGGTCACGTGCAGACGCTTGTAAATTCAGATCGTAAAGCGGGGCCGTCGTGCTGTGTGTGCGTGCACATGTCACCCTGTGCCTCCCAGCCAGGCCACACTGGAGCTCTCTCTCTCTCTCCCGCTGTCTTCCCGCGGAGCTCCCTCCTTGTCTTGTGGAGCTCCCCTACTCCCCACCTCTCTTCTTGTGGAACTCTCTCATTTTCCCTCTCCCCATGGAGCTTCTCTCCTTGTGGCAGGCACTTGGCATGTATTGTTTCAGTCGAGCCTGCTCCCCCAGCGCTGCGTAGTGTTTCCCCTCGCTGCCAGCATTGTTAGGCCGGGTGCACGTGGGCGGGTGGGATGTTTGGCTAGTTTGGTTTCCCTTGAGCCCTTGATAAATGTTTGCTATATTTGTCATCAATAAAATTAGGATTTTTTTGGGGGGCGGGGGGGGAGAGGGTTTCTCTACCAAAACAAATCCAAACAGATGTTTTTGTTGTCATGCCTTTGGTATTCTGAGTGGTTTGGTTGAGTTGTGTTTTCCTAATTTATTCCAAGAAACGAGGGCTTTAACCGTTTAACTGTCCCGGGAATCTTGCTCGGCAAACAGGCCACATCCCACAGAGTGAAGCGTCATTCGCCGGGCATGGTGTGCGTTAACCCGCGTCAATTCAAATCTACGATACATGTAGTTACTCTTGCCAGTATAAGACTACATTATTGTTCGTGTGAATGAGACGCTAGTGTTACGTTTAGCTTAATTGACTGAACAGAACTGCACTGTGCGGAGAAAATGACAGAAAATCAGAAGCAATACAAATAAGATGGATAAATGAGATGAAAAAATGGATTGTTGAATCGAGTTTTAATAATTCATGTAATCACTGGTTTAGAGGGAAGGGAGTGGTTGATGAATCATGACATGCCTCTTAAGAATTAGACCAAGAAAGAATTAATTATTTCATTTTCAAATCGTGGCCCAGAATCATGGCAATTCAATTGCTGCGGGGGAAGGATGAATCACCATAGGATTCTCTTTCACATAAACCAATCACATGAGCTGCCAAGTGGGAGCCAGCCCCCTGCGGTTAGAACAGGGCTCGGTCTCAAGCGAGAGTCAGGGGGCTACCCCTGCCGGGTGGCGCCCCACGGCACTAGCAGTGGCGACGCACTTGCGCCCCGCCACACCGCAGGCCCTTTAGTACGCTGGCACTACCCGGGCTGCAAGGTGCACCATACGCACGTTACTCACCATGCGATGGTGAAATGGCGAGCGAGCACCGGAAATGCGGGCAGTTTCCACGCTCAACCACAAACAGATTGTGGTTGAGCATGATGACCGTAGCGTCGTGTCAGGCACATACCGATAAAGAGCAAGAGAGCTTTACGTCGCGAAATAAAGAGGCCCGCGGCACTTGAACTTTGAAGGAACTAGAGGTGGTGCAGCATGCTGTGTGGGGTACGTTGGGCCATGTGGTTTCCAAAGACCCCGCCCACCCTCCCCCTTGCCTACTGCATCTGCGCTCTGTCGAGTTTGCTGATGGAAATAGTGGCCCTCTCTCTGCTTTTGCCCTAATTATGGCCATTTTTTTTTATTATTCAATGGCCGGTGGCAGAGAGGAGAACCAGCTACTGCATCTTGGCGTGATTATTCCCATTATCCTATGCCTGGTACATCCAGCCACGAGAGATATGAGCCTGCAAGCGTGCACGTGGTTGCATGCACACGTGGGCGTGTTTTGTGTGACACACACTTGGCTTTGAAATTCGACATTGATTTGAGTACAAAGTCTTAAGCGCATTGGGACCATTCCTGGACCAATGTAGTGTTATACAGTTCGTGTGTAATAAAACGTGTAATTTCCACCGCGTGCAAAGGCTGTACAAATGAATGGGACTTTCACGTCAGTGGGGGCTTGGATGAGAGGTGGGATTTGTGTTTGGGCTGGAAACATTGTGCGCGGTTGGGTGTAGGGCCACACTAAGGAGCTGGGAAATTGACACCAGCGCATTTTGTCTCATGACTCCTAAAAGGACACCTTTCCCAAACACTCGTGTCCCTGCTCAGGGCGCCCTCGCCCTTAGTCATACGCGAACAGCACGTGCCACGAGCAACGCGACGCGGTGATGTGTTTATCCCTCGTCCTCTACCGCCCACCGCAGCGTACGCGGTCGTGTGAAGGGCGCGCGTGTGCACGCTTTGCGTTCGCAGTATCAGACCCCGGCTGGGCGTCCATCAACCGCGGCGTGCTGGTGTGCGACGAGTGCTGCAGTGTGCACCGCAGCCTGGGCCGCCACATCTCCCTCGTCAAGCACCTGCGCCACAGCCAGTGGCCCACCTCGCTCATACAGGTGAGCGCGGGCGTGGGTGCGAGCGTGCGGTGTGTGAGTGAGCATGTGGGCGAATGCTATGCGAGAGTGCGGGTGAGTATACAGGTGTACACCGCAGCCAGTGGCCCACCTTCCTCATAGAGTGGGTGAGAGAGGGGGGGTGAGCATGCGGGGGGGTGCATGCCATAGCCAATGCGGCTTAATATGGGTGAGTGCGTGGGTGAGCGTGGAGGTGAGTGATAGGAAACCGGCCCTCTCCCTGGCACCCCAACTGGGTTCGTTGTCGACTGTTCAGCAACAATAACAATTTGGATTTCTTTCGCGTCCAATTGCAGCTGCATTCCAAGACACTGCACAGCAACAGTGGAAAATACATATCACACAGTAAAGAAACATTCCTGTGCACGGACAATATAACATTGGTCCAGCGTTTGCCTTTGGAAGTATTTAATTAGCAGTATGCAAGTCGACGGGTAGCTTTAGGGCAAAACTGTAATTTTTTTCATCTGGTTTGTCTTTCCAAGTTTTGGGCAACCCGTTGATCAATGTGGCTGTTTTTTTTTTTCTCAGAAGGGGCACATTCCAAAGCAGCAACACTACGCCACAGCCCTCTTTAATATTGGATCACCTTTCTGAGCGTGATCATACTCCTCCCGTTATGGACGGAAAGTGTTGTAAAGAGTTTTTAAAAAAATCTCCGTTGATGGAGCCACGGCAGGCTCAACACGTCGGGGTCAGGAGTTTTCGTTTTGGGCGTTTTTCGTGATTAATTTGAATATGTTCTTACGCTCACGGCAGATGCACTTAATGGGGAGTGTGAGGCAATCGATTAGGATTTATGCCATTTGTTGGCTGATGTTCCGTTGAGGTTTTAGAGGCAATATAAACGAGACGGTAAAAACAAGACAAGGAACTGACTCTTGCGTGCAATCACGAGCATTCATAGAATCGCTGGGGGGTGCCAAATTGTCTACGTGCCTCTCGCTTCCCTCATCACTGCAACAACGGAGCACACAGCAACAATAACATTCACAATAATAATCCAGTGCAATGTGAATTTGTACAGTGTATAAATACTTCTGCATCACATGACGCTGTACAGAAACTGCGGGGCATGTTCATTTATGGTGAGACTAAGGAGGATATAGCTGTACTGTATATAGCCTGTGGGCACACATTTGTAATGGGTTCAACTAAGGCGCACACTTAAACTTGGAGGCAACACTGTTTATTTACCAACGCAACAGACAACTATATAAGGTGGTGACCACCGTTCCTAATTTAACTAACACTTGAAGGGATAACTACATAACGGGACCAGGACAGGTTAACAGGCTGCCTGGTCAACGAGCGGAGATCGGAGACTTGAGGACCATAGATGGCTTATAACTGCTGCGGCGTGGCCGGCTCCGCCCTCGGCCACGCCCCCTTCGCGATCCTTCGGGAAGGTCCAGGTCCCTTACCACGTGACCCCCGCGCCCCCATCTGGGGTCCCCTGGCCCTTCTTCATCCGGTCACGTGCCCTATCAGGTTCACCCAGGGTGTCACGGCCTGACACGACCTCAGTGACAGCCGGGCGTACCCCACCTACAGTACCCGTCATCACCTGGTACTGTCTCAACACGGTAGTGACATCATTTATGTGACTACACATTGATAACGAGGATAAGGCTCAGCTTCGGCTTGGAGGCCCCAGAAGGGAGTTAGTGGGCCGTGAGCACCACTCTATCCCTTTGGTCGCTCGTGTTTCACTGCCCGTGACTGAGACGCACTCAGAGGCGCGTAGAGGCCTGACCTGGAGACGCACGCTGCTCGCACTGCCTCTCAAGTCCGACACCACCACACACGAGCGGCTGATTTCTGTTCGTACGAGGACATTTGCCACATGGTAGAAATCTGCAGAAGGAGGTTTTCTATGTTCACCGATCTCGCATTAACTTTATGCAAATAAGAATTATAATTGGAGGAAGAGCTGAAACGCAGCTATACCCAGATGACACTTGCCCTCCCACCAGAGGGGAGTGATTTCAGTAACCGGTTTCCATGCATCTCAAGTGGAATCTGCTGTATTCTAAACATCAAGTGCACAGCCTCCCGTGAACACGGTGCTTGTCTCCTTCCTTGCGCTAATAGACATTTGCAGATGCTATATTTCCTCTAACAGCATGGGTTTTCGTTGGCTTTGTGGTCACCGGCAGGTTTTATGGTGGCATTTTAAGACGGAGCATGCGTTTAGTTTTATGCCTAAACCTCATTAAAGTTCATGCGAAAAGCCCAATTGGTGTGGTAATCTCCATGCAACCTTTGGCCTATTTTCATTCTGCGATTTGGTGCAGTTTTGCGTGTTTTTTTCTCTCCTGCGTGCAGACACGAGTGAGCGCGATGGTCCTTGCATGGTTTTATTTAATTTAATGTTTTTTTATCAGCCGAAACAAACCCAACTGGGAATGCTACTGTCTGCTGAGACATCTCCCCCCCCTCCTCTCATGGTCTCATTCTTTCACAATGGCGTAACGCTCGCCCACACAGGGCCCCTTCCCTTAACCCTCACATCCCGCGATGCCTCACTACAAGCCGTGCAGTTTCATTGGAGCGCAGGTGCAGGCCATTGTTGACTTCACGGAGTGATCCATCTTGTGTCTGTCTCTCCGGTATTGTGATAATGGAATTATAATAACAGTAATGGCAATATCAGTAATTTACCGTAGAACGCCGCTCAACAGCGATCTTCCTATGGGGAGACTTGTCACTGCCGTGTGAACGTGGAGTTTCCACCAATGCTCAAAAAAACTGCCGCTCGCTTGTAAAGGGAGACACATTGACATTATGGCACCAAGGATGTTAAAGACAATGATTGTGGTCATCAGAGCATTAAGCAATAACAATGTCCTTCACCCGGTAAAATCCGTTTTGAGATCCTGTATTGGGATGCTTGGCCAATTCCATGAATCAGAGTTTGGCTTCATATGGGAGGAAACCGGAGTGCTCTGAGAAAACCCACCATGCATACAGCGGGGTAGGGGAGACACACTCAGCTCTCATTTGCTGGCCACACCTCGCAGCCCCATGCCTACAATATCTGGCAATCTCTGGTGGTCACCAATCCATGTAGACACTGTGCTCTAGCCAGCGTAGCTTTGACGATCTAACATGATCCGGTGCATCCCTTGGTGATTTTCTTGTGGTTGTTGAAAGGGGCCGGTTACGCGTCGCTTGGCGCCTGCATGGGTAAAGCTGTCTCATGACCGGCGGTTCGGCCCGCGGTGACGGTTGCCGCCTTGTGCGCCGCGATGGCTTGCAGATGGTGCAGACGCTGGTGAGCAATGGAGCCAACTCGATCTGGGAGCACTCGCTGCTCGACCCAGCGCAGATCCAGAGCGGCAAGCGCAAGGCTAACCCACACGACAAAGTGCAGTGAGTCGCTCACGCGGGGCCGCTCTGTCGCCCCGGCGGTCGCCACCGTCGACCTTGTGAAGTTGGCCGAGGTTTGGTGGAGGTTGCACGCGTGCCTGACTTGATTTATAAGGTTTTAAGTGAGGCTGGGTGGTGGAGGAGTGTCTTGTTTGTGTTTGCGGTCCGAGTGGCGACACACGGATTTCACGAACAGATATTACTTTGTGTTTTCATTCCTTCTTGCCGCTTATCGGCCGTGATCCATTTGATTAAACTTCTTTTTGCGCATGCACCACTTGGCCTTCACGACGAAAAAAACATTCCCGGTTGTTTTTTTTGGCTGCTTCTGTGGTGACATCATTTCACGGAGCATTGTTTCACGTGGGATGTAATGTTTAAAAAAAGTAGTTGGCATTTTAAAAGCTGTTAGTACGTGCACTAATCAATCTTTGCAGATCGCGTACTGTACACGGTGGCGCTGTGATAAGCCTGGAATATGTGAAGGAAGTTAACAGGCTAACAGCTTTGAATTGACATGACCTCGTGCATTTTTTTAAACGTGTAAAGATGCGCTAACTAATTTATTAAAATATTTTTTTATACTCCTAATTCTTTATCAAATCATGGCTGTGAAAATCTACTTTTATGATTTATTCAAAGTGCACGCTCACGTTCCATTGAGACTAACGGAGAAAACAAAACTACAAACATAAGAGAGAACACGAGACAGTACAAATGCGACGTTTAAAACCGAAGCAAAAAGGAGTTAATTCTGGAATTAAATCATGACCCTGCATCGTAACGATTAATTGAATCTCCACATAGTGATGAACCACAATGAATTATAATGATTCAACGAAGGCTGTGAAGCAGTCCACCAAATATCAACCGAAGCCATTTCCCGGCAAAGTAATCTGGATGTATTCTAGATTTGAAGTTTTCGTGACTGCAATGATCCATACTCTTTGGTTCTTATTTATTTATTATAATATTTTTACCTACGTGACTTTACCTAAAGAACCAAAGAGTATAATCTGGATGTAGACTTAGAAGTCGGTGTTCATCCAGCTGCATGTAAGAGATTGAATCGCGACGGGCGGTGGGTGTGAATCGTTATTTGCCCAGAAGACAATGGAGCAGCAGTCACGTGCACGCCGCGTGAAGCTTCCCTACGCACGGCGTCTTTTCGCGGCGGTTCGTGTCCGCGAGCAGCTTTCACCTTGGCGGGGGAAAGGTGACCGCGCAGGTTCACGTCCGAGTTCGCGCTTTGATTTGCCCTCTGTGTGTGTCGTCGTCGTCGTCGTCGTCGTCATCGTGCACAGCCCGACCAAGGCAGAGTTCATCAAGGCCAAGTATCAGATGCTGTCGTTCGTGCACCGCATGCCGTGCCGCGAGGACGATAACATCATGGCCACCGACCTGAGCAGGGTGAGGCTTCCCTGTCCCGTCGGTGCAGGGAGCGAGTGAGCAAGCGAGCGAGCACGTGTCAAGGTGGACGATGTAAACGATGCAGAGGAGGTGACCAGTGAGCCACCCCCCTCTGGGTAGCTCGTGTCGGAGCTCACAGGGCTGCCACCGCTGAGCATCCTCGGTTGGAATCTGGGTTTTCGGCTGCCCAGCCATGATTAAACTAGGTTCTCAAGCCCGGGTAGTTCACGGTCTCAATTCGGCCCCCCGATGACTGCGCTCAAGAAATCGTGTTTTCAATTTGTCTTTTGTATTGAATATTTTTTATGGATCCACGCATTGAGTAAAGTAACAAAGAAATCCGTTTGGTTGGCATGCGATGAACACTTCTTGCAGGGCATGTGAACGTTTCCCTCTGTGGCTAGAGACCTATTGAAGTCACTTGATAATTCCGTGACATTTTGGGAACGTTCTCGAACGCGTAATGACGATGCAGTGCTGGTTGCGAGAGTTCCAAATTGGAATGTTTTTTTTTGTCTCGTGACAACACGACGCAGTAGCAATTTGGAAAAACTAATTCTTTCCACAAAAGGGAAATTGCGATTTAAGCTGTCTGTCAAATGGTGCTCGTTCGTCCTGCCTAAGGCCTGGTTCACACGCCGTGAGTTCCAGAGGCGCCCAGAGAGGCGTGGAGCATTTCACTCCAGCTGTCACAAACACTCCCGGAGCCTCGTAGAATAATCGGCACGACACCTGGCAGATTACAGAATCGGAATCTTTATTTAGACTGGAGGAATGCGATGAGCTATGAATCTCTTTTTCACAGCTGTCCTGTAATTTTTCGCAGAACGACGCACGTCTGCACGCGCCGTTCGGCAGGCACCGCGGGCCGCGAGTTTCAGCAGCGGCTTCGTTGGTCTCGATGTTACCGTCCGGGGAGCGTGTCCCTCTGGCGTTCATTCCGCTGGTTTCCTTCTCCGCAGCAACTGCACTCGAGTGTGAGAACGGGGAACTTGGAGACGTCGCTGAGGCTGCTCTCCCTGGGGGCCCAAGCCAACTACTTCAACCCCGTGAGTCGTTCGCGCTCCCCGCCCTGTGCCACGACGGGATGTGGGGTGTGGGGGGTGGAGGATGGGCAGTGGGGGGGGAGTTTTGTTGTTTTGGTGGGAGTGTTTTTTTCCTCTGGCTGTAAAGCAGCGGAGTTTGTGCACAGTTGCACGACCGGTCTCTGCAGGCATGGCCGTGCGTGTATGGACGCGTTCCCTTTAGGTTGCCGTGCTTGGCTCAAAAGAAGTTGGAGCGGCAGAGTAATAATGAGCTGGGCAAGCCTGGCTGGGTTAAGACATGGGCTGCTATAGGTGAACTGTAATGACTGAATGTGTATGTGTGTATGTGAGTCGGTGTGTGTGTGTGTGAGATCTGTTGGCATGGACTAATTGATTAAATTCGGTTCTTACATTTGCAATACGTGCGTTGAGTTGCTTGCTTGAGAACCGATTTATTACAATTTGTACAACATATCCGAATGTTACATTTAAGCTAGAAGCATCCATTAATGTTTGTTGCTTGCTAGTGTGTGCATGTGAGAGTGAGCATGTGTGCCAGAATGTATGTGTGTATGTGATTGGATAATTTATGCATATTCGTTCAAGCATGTGTGTGTGCTTGTGTTTGCGCTTGTCTGTGCATTTGTGTAAGTTGGTGTTTTCGTCTGTGTGCGTTAACGCACTACGGTACAAAACCGGCGACCTGAGTTCGATTCCCGCTCACGGCTAACACCAGTGACGATTATCTGAACTGGGCATGGGCCTCCCCTCGGTCGACTGAGTAAACAGTCGACCGAGGGGATGCGTGTAAACATCACCACTGGGGGGACAAAGGCGGCTGGGCGTGGTGCTGGCCACCCACCCCCTCATGTGCCGTGCCAGCATTCATAGGTGCTCGCTAACAGCACTTGCCCCAACAGCCTTTTCAGGCTATATGGGGGATCTTTGTCTTTGTGTGCTGGTGTGTGTGTGTGCGCCACTCGCGCTGTGCGTGTGTAAACGCAGGACAAGGGGAACACCCCGCTGCACGTGGCAGCCAAGGCCGGGCAGACCCTGCAGGCCGAGCTGCTCGTGGTGTATGGCGCCGACCCGGGTGCCGTCGACGCTCTGGGCCAGACGCCCGTCGAGTGCGCGCGGTGAGATCATCCTAACCACGCTCGCCAGCTCCGCACACCGGCACAGGGGTTCGCGTAACCGCTGATGCCTCATTTATACAAATTCTGGGATCCAGGCTGCGCTAGGCCCAGGAAAAGCCCAGTTCAATCCTAGGATTCGAACACACCGGGGCCGGGGTCTGTGACTCCCCATGTTACAAGGGCCATGAAGATCGGCCTCTCCTGCTCCGTTCCCTTCCTCAACCCTATGCAGCTGAGGATGGGGGGCATCAAGTGTAAAGAATAACTTGTACTCGGTTAACCATAGCAAATGGGTGAGTTTGGACTAATTAATACGTTACGTTGTAATTAGTATCTGTGTGTTGATAACGCAAACATGGCCGAGACGCTAAGCTTGGCGAGTGACGTCACGACACATGCGTCTCACCCCTGCCTTGACCCTGAGACGTTGCGTAGCATAAGCAATGACACGTATTGGCAGGCTTGTGACGATCCCTCAGTACATTGATTAAAGTCTACCCCTACGCTCACCGTACATCGAATTGTGCGTGAGAACCCATTATTTATTCAGATGATATGCCGATGTGACGTTTGCGCCAAGGGCAGGAACAACGCTGTACAAATGGGGCGTGAAACGACAAGAAACAACACGAGCTGGACGGCATAAACGAGACTAAAAAGAAAGATGCTTGTTCTATCGAATCTACTGTCACACTTGGTCATCAATGCCGAGTGTTGATGTCATCGTACATTTATGCAGTGGCGTTGGGTAACGAGCTTGGGCGGTTGTGACCTCACTGCACCGGCAGTCGTTTTGGAATTGAAATCGTAAAACGGCTCGAGCAATAAAAATTATTTTGTCGACGTAAAAATTCGTGGAACGTCGCCACTGCCGTCGCGAGCACCGGAGGTCACCCCCTTGGGGCAGCGATGACCTCGTACCCAGTGGTGCAGCTTAGTCCGCATGGGCCCCGGTGCAAGGAGTGAATCTGTGTCCCTATCTAGATTTTCACCCTCTCCGCCATAGACCCGGCACCTGGGCCCCTAGGAACCGTGGACCCCGATGCATTTGCACCGCTCGCACGCTCTCTAGCCACGCCGCTGCTGACAACAAAACACAACGTGGACGTGACACGTGTGTCTCCCCTGGAAGATTTTCTCGCGGCCCTAATTTGACTTAATCGGCGGCGATATTGCATGACGTCATGGACTTGGTGCCTGCAGCGCGTGGGTCAGAAATGGTCGTCGGCTGCCCCTGAAAGTGTTAATTGTCACCTGCTGAGAAGGGACAATTAGCGCAGCGCCACATGAGAAACAAATAATTTGTGCATCATCATCATCTTCTCCGGCTCTCAAGATTACTTTAGCACTTAGAGCGGTAATGAGAACGGAAGGAAATCTGGGAGATGAAATAAGGGCACCGCTGTCAGTCCCCGATTAATACCGGGTGCTCGTTAGCAAGGACGATATTTGCTGCGGGCTCCAGCTGGGAGGCGCGATTCAGCACGCTCATCGCTTAAGACGCTTCCCGGCCGCAGATGTGAATAAAATTATAGAAGCGTTTTGTTTGAATGGGCGATCACCTGCTTGTAAGTACAAGCCTTCACTCGACGCCTTGTGACCGTGGTCATGTGACTTGCTTATGAAAAGTCAAACCAAGCGGGGTGGTCTGTGTTGTGTCACGGCGGAATAAGCAGGACTTTAAAAGTTGGGACTTTAGTCTCAATGTTATAAATTAAGTTTCTAATTGGCAGGGATGGGCAGCCTTATCATTAAACCTGTGATCATGTTACGCATGCGCGTGTCCGTGTGCCCATTTATGACGTGCGCACATGTTTGTACATACCTTTTTGAGTTAGATACCCGCTTATAGCCAACATGAGTTACGAATATTTAAGCTGGTCATCGACCTCCTCTAGGACGACTCTGCCTTAAAATGAATCAGCATCAGCATTGGGGAGACAAAGGCAGACAGGTGTGGTGCTGGCCATCCACCTCCTTGTGTACCATGGCTATTTTGAAAATCCTTTTTTTTGTACCTATGTGTGCGTGCATACAAGTGCACATGAGTGCTAGCGTACGTGGCGCATGTGCGCAATTCTGTTTTCGTGCGTGCGGCGTGCATGCATGCGTGCATATGTGTGTGCGTGCGCGCGGTGCGTGTACGCATGTATACATGCACGCATGTATAAATGCACGATTGTGTGTGCTTACACACACGCGTGCGTTCATGGGTGTGTGTGTGCGGTGCAGCCAAGCGGGACACACGGATCTCGCCGACCGCCTCGTCGAGTGCCAGTACGAGCTCACCGACCGCCTCACCTTCTACCTGTGCGGCCGTAAGCCAGGTAAGGGAGGCACCCCGAGACTTTGCGACCTCGCCCCCTTCGCCCTCCTTGGCGCGGGCGTCTGATGAATCACTCGTGCCGTTATCTCGACGCAGAGTCGAACGTTCCGACTGAATTCCCCCACACCTGCGCCGTTACGGGACACCTTGCGTAATGATGCAGGTGCTGGGATGCTTTTACTTAGAATGTTCCATTTTGCACTTGTGGGGGAGGGAGAGTTGTCATGGACTAGTCCACGAAGAGCGGGTGGAGAGACAAGAGAGCGAGCGAGATGTCTGTATGTTCACTTGTTGAGACCCAGCTTTCTAAGTCAACGTTACGTTTCCCCCTTCCTCCAGATCACAAAAGCGGCCAGCACTTTGTGATTCCGCAGATGGCAGACAGGTGAGCCTGATGGCCTTCGCCACACAACTTCCTTGTGCATATTCTACCCAGGAAGTGAGATCAAAGTGTCACACCAGGGTGGTATTAATCCATCCGCACATTCGCCACGTGATGCGCGTACGCTCCGCCTTCGCCCACTAATATCTCCTCTTTGAGATTGGCCCATTAAAAACATGCCGTCCCGTCTTAATAATGAACCAGGCTTCGCTTAGACGTTTCTAAACTTATTAAAAACGGAAGGTGTGGTCGTGCTGTATCGGGCCCTTTATATTTTATTCTCACAGCATGGGGCGCAATTGAGTTGTGTGATCTTTGGTAGCCTGCATAAACACGCGCAGTGCAGACGTCCCCGATTGATGGGATGTGGTGAAATGTGAACGTGCAGGTGTTAATGGTCACTCAGATGTTGTTGCGTTTGCTTTTCACGCTGCCCTTCCCCGCTCGGAGTCAGACAGAAGTAAGTACGCTTCAACTTGCTGTGCGCCTGAGATTCATGACAATACTCTTCAGGCCCCGTGAGTGAATCTGTGCCTGGCTGAGTTGTGCGAGCCGCGATGTCAGGTTTGTTTCTGCACATTTGTCTTGCAGCAGCCTGGACCTCTCTGAATTTGCAAAGGCAGCCAAGAAGAAACTGGAAGCAGTGAGTTCCATTTCCCGTTTCACCCGGCGTCACGGACTGCAGCCTCATCCCACACTTCCCGGTTACCCTCTGTGGTGGCCTTTGTGGATGGAGAGCAGTAGTGTAGCAGTTGGTGCACTGCGCCATGAACCCGGTAACCTGATTTTGATTATCTGCTCTCAACGACCAATAACAGTAACGAATATTTTAACCGGTCCCGTGCCTCGCCTGGGTCGACTCATTCTTCAACGAGCACCTGGTGCGGTGTGTAAACGTCAGCACTGGGGAGGTAAAGGCATGGTTTTGAAGCGCACCCACCCCCCTTGTGTGCCGTGCCAACCTTAATAGGCGCTCGCTTGTTCCAACAATCCTCGTGGCTACACGAGGGATCTTGGTCTTTGTGTGCATGTGTGCCGAGCGGAGCTGTATGAATGCAATGTTGTTGTTGCACATGTGGGTGGTGTTAATCCCGCCTCTGCCTTCTAATCTGCTGTGAATGCAGGCACGGGTTGTGTTTGCATTGCGTCGACAGCTGCACGCACGTTTTGCTTGGGCGCCTGATCTCACGCATTTCCCTTCCTCCTCATCCCTCCTTTTCCTCCCCCTCTAACAGCTGAGCAACCACCTCTTTGAGGAGCTTGCAATGGACGTGTACGATGAGGTGGACAGGCGCGAAACCGACGCAGGTGAGACGCGCGCCCCACCCGCTTGTGCAGTAGGACTTTTGCTTGAGATGGTTCCTGACGTACGGTCGGTCACTTCGCGAAATGCGGGCGAGTGAGTGCGCGGGACGTCGGACGGCTTCGTGCACACTTGGGTGAGTTCGTGATGGGTTTTTTTTCCCCTCCCCGTACTCCTCACCCAGTGTGGCTCACCACACAGAACCACAGCAAGCTGGTGACGGACCGCACCGCCGTGCCCTTCCTGCCCGTCAACCCTGAGTACTCGTCCACGCGCAACCAGGTGCGGCCGCTCCCTCTCCGCCCGGCTGCGTTAATTCGCGATCGCGTTGTTTAACTTGTCGACGTGGCGAGAGGAGGAATATTACTGTTTCTGCTCGGCTGTAGAGAGACAACACTTCATATTGCAGCCCTGGGTTATTTTGTTGTGCTTCGCCCGCACCTCCGATTAGCACGGTTGGTTGCATACGATGCGAAAGAAGTTATACATACAGACAACATAGAGTAATTTTGAAGGGGTGGTGGTTGTGAATTTTTGTTATAAGGCACAGTTGACCCTTGCCATGGATGCGAGCATTGTGCGCTCGGCATGTATGTTGTTTCCTTTGCACCATGACATAACCAACCGTGCAAATCGGAGGTGCGAGGGATTGCGCCAGGAGGGCTTCAATATTGCAGGGTCGATTGGCCGTGCCCAATGCCGTGAAACTGCTGGTGTCTTGACCCCACCGGTGTTTGCGGTGCAGGGCCGACAGAAGCTGGCTCGCTTCAACGCTCGCGAGTTCGCCACGCTCATCATCGACATCCTGAGCGATGCCAAGCGGCGGCAGCAGGGCACAGCACCGGGGGGTGAGGACACGCGTGGGCACGCGTGGCTATGAGAGCCCGAGTGGACACGACACAGGACACGAACGCACGCACGTGCGCTCGGAGAAACGCAAATGCCCACGTGGCCTTGCAGCGTGGCGAGTGTGAAGCAAATGCGCAGGGATGCGCGAGCGTTTAAAGTAATAAACGGTAATAATAATGATCATTTAGAGCCCTTAACCCAGAGCTGGGTGAAGGCCTTACCCATGTCACGTTGGTCATGGCGGTTGTTTGACCCAAATTTCGCCATTTTGGTCCATGCAGGATGCAACCACGATCAGATATCCCTGGACACTGATGTTAACCGTTGCCGGGAATCAGACTTTGGTGGCCACGTTCGTAGCGCAGTACCCTTACCACTACGTGCCCGTTTCACACCAAATAGCATAGAAGCGCCAGATAAAATGTAAAGATTTACCCCCTAGTTAAGTAACTCACGAGTCCAGCTGTGTAGATCTTATAGTGCAGGGAGACGCGCGGTGTAGGAGTGGGGCGCTGTGTGCGTGTGGCCGCGTGTAATGTCTATAGACAGCATGGACGATGACGATGTTCACGATTACGACATCGTGCCGTCGGAGGATGAAGACGTGACCCCCGGGAACTCCGCCGTCAAATCCCGAGCCAAGGTACGTCCGTGCACTCCCTTCCCCACGTCGAGCCCAGCGCACAGAACCACAAACGCATTGGCCGAGAGGTTATAGAAGTTCCCTGGAAATCCTGTCTCGAATGCTCATTTATCCCATTTATTTCTTGACTCATTTACCAAATTAGGGTCAGCTTGCCGCTGAATGAGTAGGGTTACATTAGCGAGCGAGCCGTTCACGTTAGGTAATGATCACAGGGTTTGGTGAGCTCCTCATGGCAGTAACTTACTGTTGGCCCTCACTTGTGACCTCTTGAACCCAGAGCATGGACTCTGACCTCTCCGACGGGCCGATCACCTTGCAGGAGTACATGGAGGTCAAGTCGGCGCTTGCCAGCTCGGAGGCCAAAGTTCAGAGGTTACTCAAGGTGAACTCCGACCTTGGAGACGAGCTGCGGCGCCTGAGGCAGGAGGTGAGACGCGGGCGCCGACCTCCCATCGTCACGTGACCCCAAGCGTCACGTACCGCCTGTGCGCACTCCTCTCCCACCACTGTGTGCGCGAGTGTGTACACGTGTGTGTGTGCGCATGTGGATTTGTGGTCACCTGTTGGCCTCTTGTTTTACTTTATCATGGCACATTTGTTTCGTTCGTCAGTGTCTCATCTCTTCACAAATACGAACATAACATTTATGTGCGTGTGATTTAGTGGTGGTGTTTTCCTGTGCGTACGTTTGTGCGTTCGTGTGCAGCGGTGCTTTATTTCTCTGCGTGTATGCATTTAGGGGTGGTGTTTGAGCTCTGCCGTTTGCTGCGCCAGCTTCCACGCCGTCTCACCCTGCGCCATGAGTGGCTGTGCTCGCCGCTGTTACTCGCCCCCCCCCCTGCCCCCCCCCCCCACCCTCGTGTGCGCGGCATTCACCTTCGTGCGTCACAACAGGTCGACAAGCTGCATCGCGAGAACTCCACGCTGCGCGAACAGCTGGGCAGCGGCAGCTCTCCCTACCCAGGCCCGCACGGCGGAGGCGGTGGCGGAGGCGGTGGCGGTGGCGGCGGCGGCGGCGGGGGAGGGGGGCCTTCCGCGTCGCGCAAGGAGCCCGTCTACCAGGTGCCCACCAACCGGCGTCCGTCCATGCGCGGGGTGGGCGGAGCGGGGCGCCCACAGTCCATGTGCGAGACGAGCTCGCTGCCGCGCTCGCACCAGCCGGGCGGCGACGGGGACGCACGCGCGCCTGACGTGTCCGCAAACGTGAGCCGCGCAGTTTTCCTTTTTTTACCCTTTGCTGCTTTTTTTTCCTTCTTTCACTGCTTGCTGCCAGTAGACGGGTGAGGGGCCGGGCCCGGCGACCGCTCTCGGTGGTCGCGGCCCGCGCCGGCCGATGGTGACTTGGGCGTGCGGCCAGCGCGAGCCGGGCCGAGCCCGTGCCGACGCGGCCTTCTGCACCGCCACGCTGGGTGGTTCCCTCTGCTCGGCCACCGTAGATTCTTCGTCTGCGTCGCCCTCTCGTAGGGCTGCACGCGTGGCTTGGGGAAGCGTCTTGCTTTGTCTGCAAGGCTCACAAAGCAATCGCGCAGCGATTCTGATCGTGACGAGTCACAAAGCTGCGGTGCAATCCCCAGCCCAATTTGCATGTCTTCTAGCAATGGGAAATCTAAACCTTTGTTTTATTGTAATTATTCAACAAATTCCACAAATGCGTAGTCTTATAAATGTTAGGGCAGAAAAAGGGGGGAGCTCACCGCCTCTTTTATATCCGCACGCTGCTTTCAGAAGATTTTTCCACATCACTTTTAAGTCTCTTTTTGGTTTCTTTGTTGTGTTTTGGTGTGTTTATTTTCCATATCCAATCTGTGTTGTGTGTGTCTGTGTCTCATCTCTTCACTCCCCACCGCCACCGCCGCCGCTGCCGCCGCCCTGCGTGGCCGCGCAGATTCGTAGGAGTGCGTTTGTGACCGCCCCTGTTTTCTCTCCTTCACACCACCCCGCGCTCTTCCCGGCCCGCGACGCCACGCGCGGCCTGGTTAAGTACTCGCGTTCCGCGTGCCCGGCGCGTGTCCCCTTTCCGACGTGACGCGACCTCCTCTTCTTCCTCCTCCTCCTCTTCCTCCTCTTCTTCAGCTCGCACCGCAGCCACCGCTCGCACGGCATCGCGGCCTACGCCGGTCGCTTCTCGCGGGGAACTAACCTCATGGCGCAGACGTAATCGCTTTGGCTGCACGGGGGGAGGACCTGCTGTTAACTTGCGCCGTCGTCCTGTGACGGCGCGCGCTACGCGGTTGTCTGCTGGCTGTTCTACCGCGCGCCGTGTTGCGCCGTCCGGGCTGCGTCGGCGCGTAACGCGATAAGAGACGTAAAAAAAAAAAAAACCGTCGCAAATCTCGGGACGTTGCCGCTTCTTGCACTGCACTGCACTGCGGACTTGGTGGCATCACGCGCAGAAGACCGCGCTCGATAAAGCGTGCTTGTAAAGGGACCGGCTTTCTTGCACACTAATTGTTTAATCACCCCGCCGCCTGGTGTTTGGAAGCTTGCCCTGCTAATAACAGCTAACCTCGCGCAGCCGAGCACAGGCGGCGTGCACTGACCGTCGTGTGTCCCCCCTCACCTCTGTCTCCAGGCCTCTGCTCTGGACTCCTCGCTAGACGGGGACTACAGCAGCTACAGGTGCGTCGTATTTCTGGCTGCTGCCTGGCGACGTGCTCCGCCAGCGGCCGTGTTCTCTGCTGCATGCGCCATGTCCGTGTGCCCGTGTGTGTCATCCACGCGGCCAAGCGCTTTGCGTGGGCCGTGCGTTTTCGAAATGTCTGTGCGTTCGTCTCGTGTGCATTGTAAGCACGCGTCTTTTTATAATGGTCGTAAAACAATTCTAACGTGCGCAAGTTCGCAAGCGGACAGAGGTTCGCATGTGGACGTGGCACTTGTGTGTGCGCGCGAGCTCAAACGCATGTTTGTTATCCATGCGATAAGTGTGCACGCGTGTGTTTTGTGATCCTCGGATCTTTGCTGCGCATGCGGCAAATGTGCGCGCGTGTGCATGCGCGGCGCGTCCCCAGGGAGGTGGGCCTCGGCGTTCGTTGCGTCGAGGGGGAGGAGAGCGAGGGCGACCCGAGCCACGCGCTGCCCAGCGGACAGGACGTCATCCGCAAGACGGAGCAGATCACCAAGAACATCCAGGAGCTGCTGCGCTCTGCCCAGGAGTGCAAGCACGAGAGGTAGCACCCAGAGGCCCCCCACCCCCCCTGCTGTTTCGCCGCTCTCCCCCTCTCGCCCAGCCCCCCCCCCCCCCGCTATTTACCATCCGCACGGCGGTTCTTGTGAAACGGCCGCGGTCCCACCCTACAGCGAGTTCTCGCCCCGCGGGGTGAGACGTGTTTGTGCTCGTGGCCATTGGCCCGGTGTGCTGCTCCAGACGGCACCGACACGTGACACCGTGCACTATGATGCCACGATTTTCCCGAGTTTGCGCTGTGCGTACATATGTACGCACGTATGTGGAATTTCTTTTGCACCATAACGTAGCCAAGCGCTCTAATCGCCGCTGTGTGTAACGCTCACCCCGCACGTCCGTGCGCTCCCTCCAGCTTTGTGCCGTGCTCCAGCAAGATCCACATTGCGGTGTCGGAGATGGCCGCTCTGTTCCCAAAGGTACGCTCGCTTACAGAGGTCTCCATAGTTGTGTTTTGTTAAGCAGGGTCTGTGTGTGTGTCGTGATTCTAGTCACGCTGTGCATGTCTCGTATTGCTGTGTGAGTGTGTTGCCCCTGGTAGTCCTGATTGGGTGTACGTGCTCTCTCTAGTACAGTAACTCCCCCGGGTTGCGGAAGACCCGAATTACGGAAATCCGACCTTATGGAAATGCATCCATAAATCATGTTAATAAAAATTCTATATTCGGAAATGTTTGCGTTAGTTACGTAAGTGCAAGTAGTGCAGCGCGGTGAGGTTGTGGGCAGGGGCGGAGCCAGGATTTTGACTTTGGGGGGGGCTGACTTCAATATTCTGAGATATCCAGTGTAATGTTTTCCAATGGGCGCCACAAATGTATAAAACAAATTTTTATTGGATTTGAACGCGGAGTTTATCAATAGGTCGGAGCCGCTGATGTGGCTAATAAGTTCGATAAGTTCGAAAGGCTGTCGGTCAAGCAGCCTGCAGGGCAGCACAAGGTGGCAGCCAGCATTTTGCAGCAGCCGGATATCCGGTTATCCCGATTACCGACTTTCCCAAAGCCCCCCCCCCCCCTGTGGCTCCGCCCCTGGTTGTGGGTGAATACCGCGAAGCGAGAGTTGTAAGGCGGCCCACCAAAACGCCGCCTTTGTTTGTTTTCTATGCTTAGAACTATATTTTTCCCATGTTTCTATTGCTAGTTTTCTTAATTTAAAGATTATGTACTTTATATAACACAATTACACTTCTCAGCCAACAGCAATCAGAGAAGTCTCTCGGCCTAGCCGAACGCACGGTTCACGAACATTTGGAAGTGACTGGTTTCTGTTAACAATTTTAAAACGTTTCGTGGTACAGTGGTACCCCGGAGATCAAACTTAATTCGTTCCAGAAGGCCATTCGAACATCGATTTGTTCGAACACCGAATAAATTTTCCCCATAGGAATTATTGTAAATGACATTAATTGGTTCCAGACACAAGAAATCTCTCATTATAAAGCATTTTTACACGAAGTTTACAGTAATTACATGCATAAAATCATACAAAAAAACAAGAAACACAATAAATAAATGGAATAAATGAATAAATATGTGGAATAAATGAAATAAATGAACATTGAACTTCACTTTACCTGAAGTAAGGAGAGTTGATGGCTTGAGTGGAAGGTGGTGAGGAGGAGGATGAGGTGGTGGTGTTATTGTTTGGAAGGGGACTCCCCTTGGGCAAGCGTCATGCACGCTGGGCCATACGTGTCTCAGCCATGTACAGGTTCTTTCAATTTCGATTTAAAGCTTTCGTGACTGCAAGGATTCAACTTCTTTGGTTCTTTCGACGTTTCGGCCACAACGCAAGCGGCCGTCTTCAGGTGAAAGGAACAGACCTGTCGGGACGACAGAGCTTCAATGAACGATGTTAAGATTCGTAGCGACTTTTAAGCTGGTTAACGTCGTGAGAATTTTATTGTGTTATTTTATTATTTTATTCTCATTCTACGTGCCTTTACCGAAAGAACCAAAGAAGGTTCTTTCAAGTCACGATTGCCCGTTCGGCCTCCGAATTTCGTTTGGTTTCCGGGGCAAAAAATGTTCGGAAATGTCGTTCGGACACCGATTTGTTCAAGTTCTGGTGCGTTCGATCTCCGAGGTTCTACTGTATTCATAAACAATTGGAAAGCAGTATATGTTCCGTTAGTTTAATTGTGGGAAGTGTTAGGGTAGATATTCGATGAAATGAAAGAATTGTAGGAAGTGTGAAGCATATGTACAGCGATACGATACAGGCTTCGATAGACAACGGATGACGGCGTGATACGGTACAAGTTATCGGGTAGGGGAGGCACAACTATTTCTGGCTATGGGATTTTATCGATTTTTGTGGGAAAACTGTTCAGTATCCGACATACAGAAAATTCGTGTTACGGATCGTTCTTGGGAACTTAACCCTTCCGTAACCCGGGCACTGCCTTTAGTTCTCTCTGAGTGTGCAAAGCATGCGTGTGCGTGTCTGCTGTCTGTCGTAGTGGGGAGTGGTAGTGCAATGGTTTGTGCACTGCGCTACGAACCCGGCGACCCGAGTTTGATTCCTGCTCACGGCCATCACCAGTAACGATGATCTGAACCGGTCCTGGGCCTCCCCTAGGCCGACTCGGCCTCAAATGAGTACCTGGTGCGGTGTGTAAACATCGCACCGGCCTTCATAGGTGGTCGCTAACAGCTCTTTGCCCCAACGGTCTGTCATGCCTACACGAGGGATCTTTGTCTGCAACAGTGCTGCACGTGTCGTTGTCATCCCTCGACCGGGCGCGTGTACCCATGGTCGTTTGCAGAAGCCGCGCTCGGAGACGCTGCGGGCCTCGCTGCGCCTCATGACGGGCAGCGCGCTGCGCCTGCAGTCCGAGTGCATGAAGACGATCCCCGCGGACGCGGGCGACGCCGTCGACCTGCAGCTCATCACCCAGCAGGTCATCCAGTGCGCGTACGACATCGCCAAGGCGGCCCGCCAGCTCGTCACCTTCACCACCAACGCCGCCAACGCGTGAGCGGGGTCGGGCGCCGGGGTCGGGCGCCGGGCGGCCGGCTCGGCCACGGCGGGCTTCGGCAAGGGTTGGGCGCGGTGCCGGCGAGCCCGAGTTTTACCGGTGCAGGGGGTCCAGTCCCACGCGTGCACTCGCGCGCTCGCGGTCACACGACACGTGCACTCACAGAGGCACGCACTCTTTACACGCATGTACGCACTCATTAATGGATGCACACACGTGTACGTATGTGTGTACACTTGGCCTGTAATGATTCACCGATTACAGTGAGTTCTAATGTTCACGAAGCACGTGTCGAATCAGACATTGTGATATGATAGCATATCAGTCACTCCTGTGACTGATATGCTGTCACATTTAAACCAATGGAGCTAACAACATGGTAGATCATATTCGGAAAAAATTGAAACAACGAATCGGTTCTTGAATCGATTCATGATCCAGCATCGTGACAATTAATCGAAACCCTTTGGGGGTGGGGGTGAATCATCATACGCCTAACGTACACGCACGCACGCACACACAGGTGGGTGTACTTGGGGAGGTGTCCACGCATTGTGCTAGCGGCCTACCCTGCGAGGCACGGCTTGGTCAACGTAGAGCTGCAGTCACAAGCAGTGCTTTCATTGACGCACGACGCTCCAAGGAGCTTTGCGACGGAACGGCCAGAGCCACCGCCACTGGCTCAGCACTCGTGAAGAACAGAGCCCAGCCTCGGCACAGCCTACCCGCAGTCACCGCACGCACGCACGCACATGAACTGTTGTAAAATATTTTATTCATCGTGGTAAGCCATCTCGTACGGTGTGTGTGTGCGCGTGCATGTGTGCGCACGCAACTATCACTTTGCTTGCGCAGTTGGCGACGTTTAACCGTGACGTTGTGACTTCACAGGGTTTTTTTTATTTAGCCTGCCAAACCAGAAGCCCTCTGTCTTTTCAGTTATTTAAATCAGAAAGAAAAGACAAAAAAAAACATCTGCTTGCTCAATAACTAACTTCCTTATGCATAATCACGTGTGCTATAATTAGAAAACTGCTAAGTGCTCGTAATGACTTGAAACTTTGGCAATTCCCTGACCCCTGTTTTAAGTATCATTATCGTGTCAATGCTTATGGGCACTGTCACTTGCAACATCGCGTTGGGTTTGTCACGCTCACCTGTGCCCACATGTGCCCCGCTAACCTGGGTCCACCTGTACCCCGCTCGCCTGATTCCACCTCTACCATGCTTACCTGGGCTCACCTGTGCCAATGACAGCGATCGTCCCGAGGCTACACTTGCCCTCATAGGAACCCAGGTTGCATGGCGAGGCCCAGCCAGGAGTCATGATGGCGGAGTTCATTACAAACGCGCCGGTTTGTGTAAACCTCTAAAGTGGACGGTTGAACTCGAGAGGATTGCCACGCGTGAGCCCTCGAAGTTCCCCGTGCCCTTCTCCGTCCGATGTTCCCCTCCGCAGAATCGTGTCGCCCGAGAGTCAACTTGTGTTTTTCTAGACAGCGGCGCTACGAATTGTATAACACGAATTAGACGCTTAACGGTTTCATTTACAAAGTGCATTATGTTTTAGGGAGCCTTACGGCTGGGCCACCCCTCATCCGGCCACACCTGTCCCACTCATTCCTGGTTTGATCGACCACCTGCCGCCGGCTGCTGCTTGCGGATTCGCTGGCTTGAGGCTGAGCCGATGGAATCTCCTGCTTCTACGCACGTCTGTTGTAACGCGCGTCCATCCCTTGCCGCGTCCCCGTGTGCCAAGTTCGTTGTGGAGCCAGGTGCGATCAATGCAGCTGTAAATGTGCGTCGCTCGGAATATCCCCAGCGTCGCGGCTTTGGCTCGGTGCCTGTCCAGCGTGTCGAGATGTGTGACGCGCACATGTTGGTGTGACGCAAGTGTGGAGACACACGAGACCATTGTGTGCGTGGTGTGACGTGTGTACCATGCTGTGAGACCGGTGTGTGTGTGTTGTGAATCGCGTAGCGTGGCACTTGACCAGTGTATGTGCTGTGACACAAGACCAGTGGTGTCTTTGAGTGTGTGGCATCAGTGTGACGTGCGTGTGGATCGCCACGTGTGTAATGCCATTATCACGTGTGTGAAACGAGGCCATCGTGGGGTGTTACGTGATGCGTGTGCGGTGTGAGCCGGCGTGGATCATGGTTGGTAGAAGGAGTCCACGAATCGTCAAATTCGGGCAGCAGTGTTAGTCTCATGGCTCGATTGGCTCGGCGTGGCATGGGTGGGCTGCCTTGGGATCCTACTGACGGAGCCTTCGTATCGAAATTCCACTGCACAACCAAGCCGCGCCAGCATGCCGTGCCGAGCCAGGTGGGCACGGCTGAGGAAGGTGCCAGGTTGTTTTTTTCCACTGCAGAACGAGAGCCGTGCCAGCATGCACGTTCAAGCCTACTGCAAATGCAACCTGATCAATAAGATTATCCCTCTGTCTGCTTATGGCCGTGACCATGTCGGATGTCTGTGAGACACGAGAGTTTCTCGGTTTGGTTCTGGCTCGGCTTGGCAAATCGCCAGTGGAAAAAAATCACCCACATCGTGAGAGCCCCTCCACGCTGAGCTCGGCTCGGATGTACAGCGACGAGGGCTGCCCTGGCTCGGTTCCGATCGCCGCCGGTCCCTGCGTGCATTGGGAGTGTTTCTTGGAGTGGACTTCTTCAAGTGACTTAATATTGTATTTTAGAATGTTGTACTGTGCATTGTTACACGTGCGTTGTTCAGACATTTCCTATGTGGTAAACCATGTAACCCTGTATTTTATACTGCGTTTTGAGTTTACAGCTGTTATGACGCAAACACGTTATGTTTGGTGCCAATTTATTATTGTTACATCTTCAGCATGCGGTTACACAGAATAAAAGATGAATGGGAAAACAACACGGGAGTGGAGAGTCTGGAATCTGGAGGTCCGTGGTCCATGCCTGAAATATCCAACAACTACGAAGTCCTCGGTTTAATACTTCGTCACGCGTTTCAGAATTTGCCCGTGAGCAGTGCCGGATTATCCTAGTAGCAAAAGTAGCTACACATGCTACGGGCCCCGCACTTTCAAGGGCCCCGCGCTAAATGCTTTCAAGCTATCAATTCCGGTTCAGTGATTCTGCACTTGCTCTCTCACTATAGTACTATACTGCCTTCAACTTTTATGAACGACTGGGTATTTAAGGTTAGCGATTTGTCGTATTATCTGGCTGTATAGCAAATGAAAAAATACAATGACTTTACTATGCAAGTAAAAAATTTGTTTCAATATTTGTGTTTTTTTTATTTAGGGCCCCTTTATAACAGATGCTGCAGGCCCAGCACTAGCTTAATCCGGCACTGCCCGTGAGGGTTATGAAGAAGACACAGCGAGGCCCTTGGGGGCTTAAATATGACTTAAGAATATATATTCTCGGTTCTTTCGGTAAAGTCACGTAGATAGAAAACAAAAATTTTAAGCAAAAAACCCACGACGTTTCGATCGCAGCACCAGCGGTCTTCTTCAGGTGGAGAGAAGAAGACCGCTTGTGTTGCGATCGAAACATCGTGGATTTTTTGCTTTTAATTTTGATTTTTGTTTTCTATCTACGTGACTTTACCGAAAGAACCAAGAATATGAATTCCTGCAGTCACGAAAGTTTTAAGTCTAAATATGACAATGTTGTAATGCAACGTCCAGTGAGGTATATGCAGTGAAATGGTGATTTTTTTTTACCCAGAGATCTAGCATGTATTATTTCCGTATTGCCTCGAACTATTGATAATTTATTGTAAATCAGGTGTACTTGGTTAACGTTCGTTTACAAAAAGAAAAAAAAATACATTAAAAATACTGTCCGCAAGTCGGTACTGTGGTGTTTTTTATGCAAACTATTTTATACTTTATTAGTTTTCTCTGTCAATAATTAGTCCATTACGTATGCATACCTGCATTAATTATTGAAAAGATTAATTAGTTACATTTTGACCAAAAACAGCAGATCGGCGCATTGTTTTTACATTTCTCGTAAAAAAAACTTTCCAAAAGTCGCCCCCCTCTTAAGGAGGCGTTGCTTAAAACATGCAGACAGCCACATCACGGGGTCAGCCCAGCAAACGCGTGGCAACACGCACCACACTGTACAACACGTGGCAACACGCACCACACTGTACGACACGTGGCAACACGCACCACACTGTACAACACGTGGCAACACGCACCACACTGTACGACACGTGGCAACACGCACCACACTGTACAACACGTGGCAACACGCACCACATTGTACGACACGTGGCAACACGCACCACATTGCACGCCACGTGGCATCACGGACCACATTGTACGACACGTGGCATCACGCACCACATTGTACGACACGTGGCAACACGCACCACATTGTACGACACGTGGCAACACGCACCACATTGTACGACACGTGGCAACACGCACCACATTGTACAACACGTGGCAACACGCACCACATTGTACGACACGTGGCAACACGCACCACATTGTACGACAAGTGGCAACACGCACCACATTGCACGCCACGCGGCATCACGCACCACATTGCACGCCTGCTGTCTGCACGGGTCACGAGGCAGCGTGACAAAGCCCCGGCATGCCCCGAGTGTCGCCGAGCCTGGCCCTGGCCTCCGTCCCTGCTCGAGCATCCTTAAGACGTGCGGGAGAGGCAGGCAGGCAGGTGTCGACACGTCGGGGCCGCGTGGCCCCGGGCGGCAGTGGGGGGGGGTGGAGGGAACCCGCTGGGTGGGATGTTTACCGTGCCGCAGCCTCAGCCGTCGCGACCGCAGCAGCAGCAGCAGCCGCTGTTGTTTTTTTAAAGGAAGCCCCGGAATCCCCATCGCCAGTCGTAGCCGATAACCCAGCTCGACTCCCCTCTACGTCACCTGCCCATCAGCCGCGCAAGTTCCCAAGCGCGGGGCGCCGGGGGTAAGAGCAGCAGCGGCAGCGGGCAGGGCGTGTGTCCGTGACACGGGCGGATCGAGGGCGGCGCTCGGGCGCGAAGGTGGGCAGGGACAACTCCGCCGCCGATGCGAGCGGAGACGCTGCCAGTTCGGAGGTTTCGCTTCTCCGTCGAGTCGGCGGCGGCGTCGTGGACGCGCGCTGCACTTTGGTCCCGCGTGGACCGTGGCCGTCCTCTCCTCGCGTGCGCGCCCACGCGGCCCCTCTCCCCGTGACCTTCACTGCCAAAGTCGCCTCGGGCCGCCGCAGCCCAGGGCGAGCCGCTCACCTGGGAACGGCGACCCGCGCGGGCGCGCTGTGAGGGTCAACCTGAAGCCGGGGACACCTGTGGACACGGGGGTCAAGGCGCCTGTCGAGTCGGCGTGCCGGGCCGGTCTGGATCTCTGGCGGGCGCGGGCGTGCTGAGACCGGAGAAGGGCAGTCGCGCCGCGCGTCTTCCGTGACCCTCCCTGTATGGAGGGAACGCGTGGAATTCGGCGATCTCTGCAAGACTGCTAGGTGGCTGCAGGGGGCACAGCGGCGTCGAGGAGGCCGACCGAGGGAGACTGGCGACGTGAGGATGGGGCCTCGTGTGGCGAGGGTGTGGGTAGGAGCCATGTGGTCCCATGGCAGGTGAGCCGGAGACCAGCTCACCCATCAGCGTGCTCCAACTGGTGCAGGTAACGGGACACGTTGACGACCTCGAGCACCGAGGGGTGGCCGGGGAGGCCCGGGGCGGTCAGAGTCCTGGTCCGGCACGACGGGGAAACCTGGGTTTGAGTCGGGGTGTCAGCCCACCGTTGATTAAACTGGATTCGCAAACACAGCGAGTTGATGACGGTCTAAGCCTGGGCAGCAATGACTGTGCAAAAAAAACAAAAACCCCATCAGGTTAAATTTAGCTTTCCACTTAAAGTTGAGAACTAAAAATATCACCTTGATCGTTCTGCGATGAACATCTCTCGTGCAGTGCGTGTGGGTAAGTGCACTCTAAAAATATGATTTAAAAGCATCCCAGAAGTAGTTGTGTGATCTCGTCTGTAAACCATTCTCTCTCGCACGCCGGTTAGCTCGTTGCTCTGCGAGAATCCCAGATCGACGTTTCATCTGATTACGCCAAATTGGCGTCAACATTTTGGAAGACGACAGAATCATACGACGTGGTTGGGGAGGCGGGGGGGGGGCACGTGTTGTTAGCTGGAGGGACGTGCGGTCTACTCTTAAAAAAAACATAACCCCGTCCACTACAATGGCATTAAACACGACGACGACAACGCTTGCGTGGTTAGCCACTGAGTGACCCATGACCCCCCCCCCACCCCTTGACCCTAAACCCCTGATCACCACAGCTGACCGAGCTGGGCATCCCGTCGGAGCAGGTGAGCTGCGCGCGCGTCTCGCTGGGAGTCGACGGCACGGTGTGCGCCCGCCACACGGACCCCGGAGCCCCCCACCGCTCGCGCGTCTCCCTCGTGGACCCGCGCCGGCCGGCCGAGCGCCGCAGTTGGCCCGTGGGCCACGTGGACTCGGCCGTGGCCAACCCGGGCCGGCCGCTCGTCGCGCTCAGAGGTGCCTCGCGCGCCCCCCGCCGCCACCGCCGCCGCCGCCGCCACCACCGCGCTCGCGATCGGCAACTCTCAGCGGTTCAAGTGGATTAATAATTATTGGATAAATCATTGATGGTCTTCTCGTGCTCGATGATAGCGCAAACAAGAACATTGCCCTCTGCGCTGGTCTGGTGAACGACCGCGATGCGATTTACTGCCAGCTTCATATTTGTCGTGAGATTCTGCGGCAATGATTAACTTTGTCCGAGTCCCCAAAATGTATGGGATCAAAAGACACGTATGCAGCAGCTATGTTGTCGATCTACCGTTGCATGAAGGTTTCGCCGTGCAATGTCAACTTGACCAGGCCGGCCGGTGAACGGGCAGATGCCACTCGCCAAACGATGTTAGCCGTGGATGGTTATTGAACTTAGGTTGCCAGGTTCACAGCGCGGTGCACTAACCACTACACCGCCGCTGCCTCCCGTCGGCTTTGTTACATGCGACCAAAATACACGACCCCATTTCCATTCCGTTCGGCCAAAACCACCTGCTTGCAGTGCGTGAGAGCGTCGGAGCGAACGTCGGAGCGAACGTCGGAGCGAACGCGCAGGCGTGGACTCAAGGTGCACCGAGGCACAAGCGCCGTGGTGACATCACCGCCACTTGCTGTCTGTCGTGCGACGCGGGCACTTGCAGCAGGTACAGTTGTGCAGGTATTCGACGTGGAGAGCAAGCGGCTGGTGAGCCAGTGCCGCGTGATGCAGGGCGTGGAGTTCTGGGTCTGGCTGGACCGGGACACGCTCTGCCTGGTCACCGACGCCGCTGTGCTGCACTGGGCCGTGCAGCGTGAGTACCGCCACAGTCCACCGGGCACGCTGGTACAGAGGACTTAGCCGGCACACACGGGGACTGGTCCCTCCAGCGTACTAGCCAACACAGAGGACTAGCCAGCACACATGGGGACTGGTCCCTCCAGCGTACTAGCCAACACAGAGGACTAGCCAGCACACACGGGGACTGGTCCCTCTAGCGTACTAGCCAACACAGAGTACTAGCCGGCACACACGGGGACTGGTCCCTCCAGCGTACTAGCCAACACAGAGGACTAACCAGCACGCACGGGGACTGGTCCCTCTAGCATACTAGCCAACACAGAGGACTAGCCAGCACACACGGGGACTGGTCCCTCTAGCGTACTAGCCAACACAGAGGACTAGCCGGCACACACGGGGACTGGTCCCTCGAGCGTACTAGCCAACACAGAGGACTAGCCGGCACACACGGGGACTGGTCCTTCCAGCATACTAGATTTCAGGATCTCTGAGTTTGTGGACATTTTTAAAATTCGCCTTAAAACCTATTTATACGCTTCCGCCTATTAAACTTTTAGTTCATTTCGTAAATGATTCTCAAAATATATTATTATTATTATGCTGGGTGTCTGCTGCTGCTTTGTCCTGTACAGCGCTTTGAGATGCTTGATGAAGAGCGCTATATACATGTAATTATTATTACTACTCGTACGTGCGTATAGCGTACTAGCCAACACCGATTACTAGCCAGCACAGCTGACCGAGCTGGGCATCCCGTCGGAGCACGTGAGCTGCGCGCGCCTCTCGCCGGGAGGCGACGGCACGGTGTGCGTTGGCTTGTTGTACACTCGGTGAACCGTCCGGCACACGCACAAACACAGAGCGGCGCGCCCCGCGCCGTGCGGGCGCCTGTGCCGTGACCCGTCCCGTGTGCCACCTGCGCCGCTAGGAGAGGTGGAGCCCGAGGAGGTGTTCTCGCGGCACGCCAAGCTGCGCGGCGCCGAGCTCGTGGGCTACCGGGGCGACCCGGCGGGACAGTGGCTGGCGCTCACCGGGCTCTACCTCGACCGGGTGAGCGGCCGCGGGGAGCGTGGGGAGGAGACGCGGGACGCGGCGGATGGATCTGCGTTCAATCCCCCCACCCCCACAGAGGATCGGAACGCCGAACGTCATTCCGAACCCCGGGGGCGGTCGGTGGGGAATCGTTTGGTTAGAACAGCGTAGAAACAAAGCACTCTGACCCCCCCCCCCCCCCCCGGGTGTTGCGGGGTCATTTTTCAACAGGGGGAGGAGTCGTATTGCTCCGACAGCAGTTTTACCCCTGGGTCCAAAACGTTGTTATGAGGACGCTCGTTTACCCAGGAAAGCCTCACCGAGCCTCGTGAACGTCTTTCGGGAGAGTCCTGCCCAGCGATGTCGAGTTACACCTCCGATCAGCACGGTTGCCTACACCCACGTATTACTCTTGACCCACGGGACACAAACTCCGTGGTCTGAGAGCAACTCCCCGACTCTGTGCCGCAGACGGGCTGCGTTCAGGGCCTCACGCAGCTCTACTCGCGCCACACGCGGCTCGACCAGGTGATCGAGGCGCAGGCCGTGGCGCTCGCCGAGCTGGCGCTCTCGGCCAACCCCGGGCCCTCCGTGCTCCTCGTCGCCGCCCAGCGCCGCGGCGCCGGCCACAAGGGCAAGGTGGCCGCTCCCTTCTCTCGGCATCCGGCGTCTCCCCCCCGACGCTCGCGGTGCTAACCCGGGCCCCCCCCCCCCCCCCCCCCCAGCCCGCGCCTGCCACCGGCCGCCCTAGTGCGTGCGCGCTCGCTAAAGCAACGACCGTTGGCGAATATCGCTCGCGATGTCGCCCGCGGTTCGAATCACCGGGCGTGAGTATGGTCTCGGCAGATCTCTCGGGAGTCGCCGAGCGTGTTGTAGCCCGGAGAGCCGGCCACCACCACCACCACCACCGTCGTCGTCATTATGATGATCAGCCACGGTCACTCTGCTGCTGGATGACGCAGCAAAGTCCATTGTTGTGCTGTACTATGCTTCGGCGTCTATGCTGCCGGCCTCCACCAACCCGCACCGACCAGCGTGCGGTCAAATCACCTCGGGTGGGGGGGGGGGGGGGTAGTGAGGGCCTCATCCAGCAGTGGATTCACACGAAGACCTGCGCGTGCGCGACGTGCACGTCGGTCACGTGAGCGTGCGTGCGTGCGTTTGCGTAAACAGGTGCACGTGGTGGAGCTGGGGCCGCACCGCCAGGGGAACTCGGCGCTCACGAGCCACTCGGACAGCCTGCTCTTCCCGCTCACCGAGGCGCGCGACTTCCCCGTCAGCGTGCAGGTGCCTCTGCCGCGCGCTCGCCTGCGCTTCGACATGAAACGGGAGAGCTCGCACGCTCCCCGATCACGTAGCGCTTTCCAACGCGCGTTGGCAGTCTTTCGGGAGGATGTCATCGGCGCGCGACGCCGCGGGGTGACGTCGTCGCTTCGACCGAAAAGGACGATCCATTTTAGCGTCGGTTTCTGCCTTGCTAAAAAAAAAACCGCACGCACACAATCATCGGTGATTTCGAAACGTGGTCCATCTGTCATAAAGCCCTGCACTATCGCTCAACCGAGGCCAACTCGTACCCCCCAGCGATTGAAACGGCCCCCCACTGACCTCCCCACCCCCAGGTGCTGTGCCGGCAGGGTCTGGTGCTGGTGCTCAGCAAGTACGGGCTGCTGTTCGTGGCGGACGCGGACACGGCGACCGTGCTCTGCTGCCAGCGCATCGGCACGCACACCGTGTTCGCCTCCGTGCCGGACCCCCGCACCCACGGCATCCTCGGCGTCAGCCGCAGCGGCCAGGTGAGGCCCCCCCATCGATGCCGTCGTCGCCGCCGCGTTCGGGACATCGCGGGGACGGGGGGGAGAGCGGGGGCGGTGAGCGTGGCTGACCGGCGCGGTGCGCTCGCCGCAGGTGCTGTCCATCTGCGTGCGGGAGGAGGCGCTCCTTCGCTGCGTGCCGCCCCACGCCCCGCGTTCCACCGTCCTGCGCCGCCTGCTCGACTCCCGCAGGGACTCGGCTCGGAAGATCACGGCCGTGTGACGCTCGCCGCGCAGCGCCGGTCTGGCCGGACAACCCGCTCGCCGTGCCGTCCCGTGCGGCTGGCGGCGACGCTGTGCGAGACCCACGTGGGGTCGTCGCTATTCGCGGGGCGCTGCTGCAAGGCGCCCCCCGAGACACAGAGATGCACGTAGCTGCTGAGCACCTGCGCCGTTGGCGAGGAACTGGGACGCGGACGTGGGCGACTGCAGTGCCAAGCTAAACTCGTGAGGATACAAAAAAACCCTTCCAAGTTAAGTGGAGAAAATATCGAGGGGCTCTTTGTGGGATGTTCAAGCCTTTAAACCACACGCATTCATCTCTGAAGGCGTAGGCCGAATGTGTAACGCAGACGCACATTTGGACGACGCCATGCCAACCGCACGAACGCGCCAAAACCCGGATCGTTTTCAAATCCACCTCGTTTGCCGAGAGGCGTCGTCATTCCCCCACGGAGGCGTCGAGTTCGGCTTCGCTGAGCAACGCGGGCACGGTGCCAGAGTGTCCCGTCTGGCCCCTGCCCTCCTCCGGTGGGCGTGGACCACTTTGCCGTGCCAACCCCACGGTGGCAGCCGTCCCTCTCCCAAGCCACGCCAAAGGGCACGGAGCCGAATGCTGCTGACGGGGGAACTCGGAGCGGGTGAGACGCGGGTACTCCCGAGTGTCGCGACGTCTCCTGCCAAGCGAGGCCCTCCCCCCGTCAGCCACCCTGCGGGACACTCGCGTCACGGACTCGCGGCCGTGGCTTCGCGGAGCCCTCTGCCGGACGCTGAAAGCAACATTGCGACATGTTTACAGTATCCCCTTATTAACTATGCATGATTGCATTTTTTAATGTGTATACGCGTTATAAATATTTGAAGAGCTTTGGCTGTTCACACTGCTGTGATGCGTTATCAAAAACAGCAGGGTTGCGGAGCACGCAGAGCGTTGTAAATATCGAATGCATATTTATTAGGGGTGGAATGACGCATTGATTCGTGCATCGAATCGCGGGTATTGCAGTTCTGTACGTTGAGTCAACTCTGCGGCCACTAGAGGCGCGGCCATTCACCTGCCGAGTCAATCAATCGTTCCACCCCCAACGAATGCGGCGATTTATTTCACGATCATGCTGCATGCAGTGCTATTCAACGCAACCGCGAGAGACGGAGCCTACGGCTAAACCACCAGCAGGCCGCCCACCTGCGCCGACCCCAGTCGACCTGGGAAGCTAAACGATGTTGCGCCCAGACAGTGTTCAGATGGGCGACCACCATGCAATACAGCTGGTGCCATAGGTTTGCAAGGCTGTGTTGTAAGTAGTGCAGCAACAATCTGTTGTACTGTACTTGTAAACCTGCACTGGCCAGTGTGGTGAAGTATGGTGAAATAACCCCCAAGGCCCGCAGCATCGTGTGAGGAGGCCATCATCCAGCGGTGGATTGCCAAAAATGGCTGTGCTGTACACGTACAGCAAGGGTGGGGGTTGAGTGAAGGAGATGAACGCAGCGTTGCTTTGCCAAAGTCAAACAACAACTTCTTTATTTCAACTCGTGAAGCATATAAACGTAAACACAAAATTGCCACACGAGGCGACGGCGGCTCGGAGAGAACAGTCGTGGGATGGATTCTCTCGGACGGGCACAGAGGGCACGGCTGGCACAGAGGGCACAACTAAAGCCCCCTGTGTCTTCCTCCCGCACCGCCTGCCCGGACCCCCCCCAGCTGCTGCTACTGCTCCTATGATATTCATGGAACGTTTGGCTCCGCCGTCATAATTTTACGCCGGCAAAATACTAATTTTATCTGCATCATAATAACCTCGGCCAGGGTCACTATTCCAATATTTTGTAACTCAAGACTACGGTTCTGCAACTCAACCACATGCGAACGTTTTATTTCGCTGTTTGTAACGTTATAATTTTCAACGTTGCTTTTCAGCGCCGAGGTGCCATTGCTGGTTTTCCCAGGACCGTCCACTTGTTGAGAGTCCTGGGAAGGCTGCGATTCTTCCCAGGATGTTCCGAGTCTCGCGGGGTCTTAGTCGTGAGTTGAGTAGCAATAAACCAACTCCAGTCGATTCATGTCCCCTGCGTGCGCCCCTCGCCTACTGCGAGATTCTTCCTCCCCACCTCATCTATTTACAGCCCTGGGCCAGTGGTGTAAACTCTACATTCCTTTGGAGGGGGCGGGTGTATCCATAAGACAAGAACTGATGACTTTCCCCACAAAGCGTTCCAGGATTGATATGTTTGGGACGCGGCAAAAATTGGAACACATCTTCAGACGATGTGTCCCAATTTTATAGTTCCTCAGAGGTGGCAACCCTTGTCGCTTGGCGATTTGTGGACGGGAGGTGGGATGAGTGGGTGAGGGGGTGGTGGTGGGTGGGGGAGGTCAGGGCCGTGGTGCGGTCATTTCACAGTCGGTGCGGGCAGCCTGGTCCGGACCCCTCGCTCTGGAGACGACAGGGCACGGTGCACGAGATTTGTTATCGCACGCAAACACGATCAGCTGATGTTTTGACGAATATAAAACGTCTCTAAATGCCAAACTCTATTTCTGAAAAAATAATTTTAAAACGTCAGCTCTAAATATATTGCCGATTTGCAAAAGTTGTCTATTTTTGGAATAAAAGATGTTTATGAAACATTCATGGGAGCTTTTTTCATGTTTAATGTTCGTCGGGCACGGTGCTTTTAAACGTTCAATTTCACAACTGCCTTAAGTTCACTAAAATTGTTGTCAGTTCCTGTAGAATTTCTGCATGTCTCCCAGTCTCCCCGTCTCCAGGTCTACCTGGCCCATCTCCAGGTCTACCTGGCCCGTCTCCAGGTCTACCTGGCCCGTCTCCAGGTCTACCTGGCCCATCTACAGGTCTACCTGGCCCATCTCCAGGTCTACCTGGCCCATCTCCAGGTCTTCTTGGCCCATCTCCAGGTCTACCTGGCCAATCCCCAGGCCTACCTGGCCCATCTCCAGGTCTACCTGGCCCATCTCCAGATCTACCTGGCCCATCTCCAGGTCTACCTGGCCCGTCTCCAAGTCTACCTGGCCCATCCCCAGGTCTACCTGGCCCATCCCCAGGTCTACCTGGCCCATCCCCAGGCCTACCTGGCCCATCCCCAGGTCTTCTTGGCCCATCTCCAGGTCTACCTGGCCCATCCCCAGGTCTACCTGGCCCGTCTCCAGGTCTACCTGGCCCGTCTCCAGGTCTACCTGGCCCGTCTCCAGGTCTACCTGGCCCGTCTCCAGGTCTACCTGGCCCATCTCCAGGTCTACCTGGCCCATCTCCAGGTCTACCTGGCCCATCTCCAGGTCTTCTTGGCCCATCTCCAGGTCTTACCTGGCCCATCTCCAGGTCTACCTGGCCCGTCTCCAGGTCTACCTGGCCCATCCCCAGGTCTACCTGGCCCATCTCCAGGTCTACCTGGCCCATCTCCAGGTCTACCTGGCCCATCTCCAGGTCTTCTTGGCCCATCTCCAGGTCTTACCTGGCCCATCTCCAGGTCTACCTGGCCCATCTCCAGGTCTACCTGGCCCATCTCCAGGTCTTCTTGGCCCATCTCCAGGTCTACCTGGCCCATCTCCAGGTCTACCTGGCCCATCCCCAGGCCTACCTGGCCCATCTCCAGGTTTACCTGGCCCATCTCCAGGTCTTCTTGGCCCATCTCCAGGTCTACCTGGCCCTTCTCCAGGTCTTCTTGGCCCGTCTCCAGGTCTTCTTGGCCCGTCTCCAGGTCTACCTGGCCCATCTCCAGGTCTACCTGGCCCGTCTCCAGGTCTACCTGGCCTATCTCCAGGTCTACCTGGCCCGTTTCCAGGTCTACCTGGCCCATCTCCAGGTCTACCTGGCCCGTCTCCAGGTCTTCTTGGCCCATCTCCAGGTCTACCTGGCCCGTCTCCAGGTCTACCTGGCCCATCTCCAAGTCTACCTGGCCCGTCTCCAGGTCTACCTGGCCCATCTCCAAGTCTACCTGGCCCGTCTCCAGGTCTACCTGGCCCGTCTCCAGGTCTACCTGGCCGGTCTCCAGGTCTTCTTGGCCCATCTCCAGGTCTACCTGGCCCATCTCCAGGTCTACCTGGCCCATCCCCAGGCCTACCTGGCCCATCTCCAGGTTTACCTGGCCCATCTCCAGGTCTTCTTGGCCCATCTCCAGGTCTACCTGGCCCTTCTCCAGGTCTTCTTGGCCCGTCTCCAGGTCTTCTTGGCCCGTCTCCAGGTCTACCTGGCCCATCTCCAGGTCTACCTGGCCCGTCTCCAGGTCTACCTGGCCCGTCTCCAGGTCTACCTGGCCCGTCTCCAGGTCTACCTGGCCCGTCTCCAGGTCTACCTGGCCCATCTCCAGGTCTACCTGGCCCATCTCCAGGTCTACCTGGCCCATCTCCAGGTCTACCTGGCCCGTCTCCAGGTCTACCTGGCCCATCTCCAAGTCTACCTGGCCCATCTCCAGGTCTTCTTGGCCCATCTCCAGGTCTACCTGGCCCGTCTCCAGGTCTACCTGGCCCATCTCCAGGTCTACCTGGCCCGTCTCCAGGTCTACGTAGCCCATCTCCAGGTCTACCTGGCCCGTCTCCAGGTCTACCTGGCCCATCTCCAGGTCTACCTGGCCCGTCTCCAGGTCTACCTGGCCCATCTCCAGGTCTTCTTGGCCCATCTCCAGGCCTACCTGGCTCGTCTCCAGGTTTCTCGATCTCCCCAGGATGGGCTGCCTGTAAGGAGCCTGCGTGAGGATGTGCGGAGTGGTGCCACTACCTTTTAAGTCTGGCGTGGAGTCTGGGCCACCCGGATGGGAGTCTCCACCCGTGCCGGCTCCGAGCTGTTGCTGCCTGCTCAGGGGGAGCGTGAGAAGGCAGAGCGCGCGGTGTGCACCGTGCGCTGAGTAATGGGGAAGGGGCAAGGCGTGCAATTGGGCTGTTTATAATTTTAATAGATTTCAACAAATAATATCTCCCTGCGTGACACCATCGTGTGGGTGTTTTCGATCACTGTGTATTAATAGGGGAGTCAATTAAGCAACACAACCAGGCACTGCTATGATTTTCAGTTAAGGCTGTACTGTCCTTTATTGAAAAAGTGTGTGCAGTGGGTGGGTGCGGGTTGGATGCGCGTGGGTGGTGGGTGGGTGGGTGTGTGTGCGGTGGGGGGCTATAGTGTAGCAGTTTACGTGCTGTGCTACGAACCCAGCCACCCGAGTAAGATTCCTGCTTATGGCCACCAACACCAGTGACGATTATATGAACCAGTCCTGGGCCTCCCCTAGGTCGACTTGGCCGCAAATGAAGTGTAAACATTGCCCACTAAAGGCGGCCGGGCGTGGTGCTTGCCACCCACCCCCCACGTGTGCCATAGCGGCCTTATTAGGTGCTCGCTAACAGCACTTGCCAACAGTCTGTTTCGGCTATTTGGGGGATCTTAGTCTGTGTGCGGGGTGTGTGTGTGCAGTGGTCGGTGGGAATGTGGATTGCGTGGACGGTTCCCACACACGGGATTGGACACAGCTGGTACCGGCAACGGTGAAGTGGGGCAATAGCGACGCGTCCGCTGACTTTGTGGCGGGCGGATCGCCACTGGAAGGTCGCGCCCCTTTCTTGCTCCTCTTCGCGGCCTCCCCCTCCTCCTCCTCCTCGCCGCTAAACTCGACGACCGCAGGAGCACACCGCATCCTCGCCAGTCAAGCGCGGGTGATGGGAGCGCCGCCGAGACAAATCGAGGCGTCGCACAAGAACTGCCCGCTGCGCGTCCCACCATTTCGCACCCTCAATGTGGAGGGCACGTAACAAAGCCGGCAAGAGGCTGATAGTGGCATTGTCTTTGTGCTGTTCGCTTTTTGGCGTCCTCTGGTCTAACACTTTGAGACTAGGCTCTAAAGAAAGCTGTCTCTGGTGTGGACCAATCAGTTTCAAAGGTAATGCATATATTGTTATCAGAGCATGGTTTTTGTTTGCATGTTCACCATAAGTACGTGTGGATACTGCAGACAGGATTCCTTATAAAAGTATTCTGTTTGGTGTTTTAACACCCTAACACCCGTTCGATTTCCAGAAATGGTAGAACGTATTGTTATAGGCTGTGAGTCTGTCTGCTCGCAAGCTCACTACGCCATGAATCTCGCAGACGCTCACCCCGAGTCGCTGTCCTCCTCGAGGCTGTCCCTGTCCTGCTGTGCCTCATGTGGGGCCCTGGTCAGAGCCGGGCTGGGGGTCGCGCCGCCAGCCCTGGTCCGTTCAACAAGACGGAGCGCGCGGATCAACCAACGCGCGCGGACATGGCGATCGCACGACACCAACGCAGAACAACCACGCGCGTCGAACTAAAACTACGCACGCTCGTCAATAACAGGGCCCTGAAGAGGAGAGAATAGACGATAGGCGACGTTTTGGACAAATATGCAGGATCAAATGTCTCTTGCCACGAAGACGGGCCATTGCGACATACGTCACCTCCTCTCCGTGTTTCCTCTTCAGTGCAGTGCTATTGACGAACGTGCCGAGTTTTGAGTTATTTGTGCTTGTGCACCACTGCCAAGGCAGTATCAGAATGGACGGTGGCCTGCTGACTGCGTAAGAGTCATTGGTGGCGTGTGCGCCGGTACCTGATGCCCTCCTCGGTGACCACCACAGACCACGTCCGCTCAGGCCTATGATCGTCGCCATCGTGGCCTCGTTCTCCTCCTCCACAAGCAGCAGCAGCAGCAGCAGGAGCAGCAGGAGCAGCAGCCGTGTGGCTCGGGGAGACCGTGCGCGGCTGCTTGCCGCGCGAGGAAGCCTCCTCTGCGTCGCCTGCCGGCCAGTGGGAAGAAACCTCCTCCGCCCCTTGGCCGGCCGCCCCTTCCTCCCACTCCACCTCCTCTTTCCAGGTGCTCTCCCTCGCCAGCGCCGCCGTCGTGTCCAGGCTCAGGAAGGCCGAGTTCATCTCGTCCACGGAGCTCCCGCTGTCGCTGGGCCGCGAGCCGGACGCGCCGCCCTGGACGTCGTGCTCGTCCAGCGCGGTGGCCGTCACCATCTCGCCCGCGGTCTCCTCGCCACCGTCTCCGTCTTTTCCGTCTTCTCCGCCTTCTCCGCTACCCCCACCGCCTCCGCCAGCGGCACCGTCGGTATCAGATGCCGGGACCCTGGTCGTCCCCTCCGCTCGTTCACCTGGAGCCGACGACGCCGTCTCCGTCTTCATATTGCTTTCATTGTCAGCATCGTCGGTCGATCCCCACTCGCACGTCCTGCCGAACGACCCTGCATCGCACAGACTCCCACGGGTGAAGCACGGGGACAGTGCGGGAGTGAGCTCGTCGCGAATGCAAAACGTATAATTTCTAAAACGTGCAAAACACAGACTCAAGCGGTACGCGATGTCCCGTTTTGTGCGGGCGGGCAGGCGCGGGGGTGAGTGAGCGTGGGGGTCGAGCGGGTGCGGGGGACGGGTAGAAACTCGCCTGGGGTCTCCTTGCACGTGTCGTACATGAAGGACGGCGCCGGTGCGCGGTCGGGGGAACCCTCGGCCCAGTGCGCCGTCTCGTACCCCCCCTCGGCCTGCTGCTCCATCTCGGCCTCTCCCTCGGCCTCACGCCCCCCACCGTGGGCCGCAGCCGGCCTCGCGCTGCCCGGCAACGCGCGTGGGCCCCCGCGGGGAAGCCCGTCCGCAGCGGGGGCAGCGTGGGAGGGGCTACCCCCCGGACGGTCCCGGCGCAGACGCCCGGCCGCGCCGCGGGCTGCGGAGGACATGATGTTAATGTTACAGCGCGGGACGCACGGCCTAGGTACAAATCGACTGGAGCCGCTCGGTGTTCGTGTCGTGTCTTTCAGGGGACACCACGTGCCGCCGACGAGACGGTACGGGCAACGCGAGGGGGCCGTGTGAGCGGGCGATGTCACTGGGGGCAAGTTGTTGGCCTAAGGCGGTGAGGCTTGTGCGCGTCAGAACATCACAAACGATGGGGACATTGTTTTGAACGCTACGCGCTAAACGTGTGACCATTCGGCACCCCCGGCGGCGACTCCATGAGTTGTCGCGTTTCGTGGTCTCGGTTCGACTGGGGGGTGAGATTCGTCCAGAGCGGCACCGTGCGCCAACACGGGCCGCGGCGGTGAAAGCCTCGAACCTGCACGAGGCTCCGAGGGAGGAAGGAGCGTGGCCCCCGCATCCATCTTGTCCGATTCTGCAGGCGCCATCCGGCTCTTCCCCAACCGGGCAGTCTGCGCAGAGAATTAACTTCACAAAAAAAAATCGCCCAACAAATATTTTTCACAAAATGCAGAAACGTGAAGGTAACTTCTGCTGCCAAGTGCCCGGCACCTGACTTCGACAGCGATCGCTTGCCACAGCTGCACCGATCCCAGAACTGACCGAACGCGGTGTGTCCCAGTCCTCGCCACCGCCGCTGCTGTAGCTGCTGCACGCGACGGGCATGGTTGGCGGAGCCTGGCACGTGGAGGCGGTGAACCCGGAGGCCGGCGCGGTGAAACTGTCGGGCCGCTCGTCGCCGAAGCTCCTCCACACCGACGTGTCCTCCAGCGCTTCCCGGTCGCTCGCCGCTGCTTTGCTGCTGGCTGCAGGCCAAAGGGGTGACCCTAATTCAACGCAATTTTCAACTGTTCTTATTTGCCTTCATTAAATCTTAGTATTTTTATTCACAGGACGTGGTAAAACTTGAAAAATGGACCAACCAAACTTAAAGAGCCATCGTGTGTTATAGGCTAAGCGGGGATAACAGGTGACAGTGCACTCACAAAGGAACGCCGGATTAAAGGTACGATAGAGTGAAGGTGGGAAGCTGGCTCAGGTCGGGAGGTCACATACTGAGCTGGCATTGCTGAGATTTGTGAATTCTAATCCGAGTTTCACCTGTCCATGATCAACCGGCTTAAGTGTAGTCGGTTGGTGGTCTCAGCCTGGTCATTAATAAATTTCATAAACAAATGTAACTTTATAATAAATACATTTTTTCACTTAATTTCAATTTCGATCCCTTACAGCAGTTTTTTTGCGGCCACGTGCCGGACACCTCGCTGGAGCAGGATGTGTGGGGCATTGCCTCCTTTAGTGTGCATACGAGGTCACAAAACTACTTCTGAGGGATCTCAGAAGTAGTTCTGTGATGCATCCTTCTTAACGGGCCATTCTCCAACACGCGGTGATTCGCAAATCTGGGAAAGAGACAAACATGGACGGTTTGCTCCGCCGGGGCCTGCTGCTGGAGGAGGAGGCGGCGGCCGTCCCACTCACGCCACGGCTCTCACCGGGCTGCTTGGGGGTGCTCTCGGTGGCTCGGCAAGACGGGCTAGGCACGCCGGACGACAAGCAGAGGCTGTGGGCCTGGCTCTTCGAGGCGTCATGCACGATGCAGGACAGCTCGCCCGTGTCAGACAGCGACCTGGGGGCGGCGGCAAGACACGCAGTCTATGACGAGCACAAAACCTCGTCTAAATCTGTGTTCAATTCATACTTGGGACATCTACCCCACAGTCGCTTCCCTTGCTTTCCTTAATTCTCGTGTTATGCCCAATTATTCCCCACGGTTTTGTACCTCCAATTAGTATGGCTGGCTACGTACGGTACGAAAGACGTTCAACATACATACACAGATACGGTGCTCGAAAACAGGTCCCTGCAGGGTGGGCTGGTAGGAACATTGGAATTTTGTATTCGGCTGTGGGCTGTGTGAATTTGCCACATCCCCAAAAGCGAAGTTCGCAAATGAGATAATGTGACTTCCAAATGTTGGGTGCAATAAGACATATCAAGTCTCTGCGCTGTCTATTGCTGATTTTACACCCAACAGCACGAGATTTCACTTCGTTAAAGTATTGAAAGGGGACGGACGGACGGACGAACGGACAGATTAATCTATTGCAGGCTGGTACACTCAGTTTACAACTTCGTTCCTACCAGTAAAAGTGTAGTGATAATACAGCTGCTGCTTGCGAAGTCTCACGATGCTAGTCGTTTTTGATGCTACAGTCGTTCTGTAGCAAATTAATTAAAGAATGAATAATTTTCTTCAAAAACGAAAACCGATTCATCGCTACACCCCTAATGACGACCTTGAGGTGGGCGAGAGAGGTGGTCGTGGTGTCCCGGCCTCATCCGACGATGACCCCTCGCTCTCCTCATCCTCCTCTTCTGAACATTCCGTCAGAAAACAAGATTCAGGCATCATCTCTGCTCTTGCTGCCGGTTCAAATTAATGTTCCAATCAATTAATGTTCCAAGGAAAATTGCAGGTGAAGTCACAGTGCACGAAGTGGCGAAATCCACCTGCGCGGTGCAGAGCAGCAGCGCCGTTGGCATGCTCCTGTTGAAGGTCCCGGCGCTGCGCGCCCTTCGCGATGGGGCGGACCAGGCCCTGGCGCCGCAGCTGGGGGCTGGCCAAATCCTGCGGTTGCGTTCGCGCGATCGCCGGTGAAATTCCCAACGCACACGCGCACCGACCCGCAGAGCGAACGCCTCGGCTGTTTCACACCGAGTCGACTGTCTCGAGCAAACCCGCAGTTGACTCTCGGATGTCTCTCGGTTAACAAGGCGGAGGGGTGGTCCAGGTAAAACAAGCACAGGGATAATGCAAAATGCGTGGGCCCTCTCACCTCCATGCTGGCGACGGGGATCTGCAGGCGATGGAGAAACTGGGCGTGACGTGACCTCGCGTTGAGTTCAGGGGTGAAATATTCGGACTCATCGATCATCGTCCCCTTCCTCTCGTGCACAGCAACTCTCTGGAATGAAAATGTACGACTCGCCCCGTGTTCTTGCCAGCTGAGTGAATGTGCACACTGTGCAGCGGCGAGTTGCAACCGTGATGCCTGTTTTCTAAGCCTGTAACGATGCATTGTTTACAATCGATTTGTACGCTCTTAATGCACGCATCAATTCACGTGCGCGGAGAAAATCTATTATTTTACCAATGCATGAATTGGATACGCAACATTTTGGCTGATGGAGTGAAGAAAACTGTTCAAATGAAACAGAGTAAACAAGAAACAATACAAACGAGATGGGAGAACATTCGTCAAACAAATTCTAACGCGAATTGAATCGCGACCTTCAATCGCGACGATTCCTCCACTCGTCAAGAGGGGGTTCACTGTGCGCCGCACGGCCGCCATGCGGGGCCCCTGCCCGGCTCCAAGCACCCCGGGCCCGCCGGCCGTGCCCTCGTAGCTACTCACGGAGACGCCGGCCTGCGCCACGACGCCGGGCGTGTTCCGCCCGCGCCTCTTGGTCACGAAGCTGTCGTCCAGCTCCGGGCTCGCCTCCTGACGCACCTCCGGCTCCTCCTCCCCCACCTCCCGCCGCCGCGCGCTGCTCTCCCCGACGCTTCCGGCGGGCGGCCCGGATCCCTTCTCGCCCGTCCCCGAGGCCCACGGGGCGGAGTTTGCGCGGCCCTGCTCGGACGATGTCGTGCCCCCGCCTCCTCTGGTGTTCACCGACGCGGTTGCGGAGCCCCCTGGCTTCTCCTCCTTGCCCGATTTCGGCGCGCGTCGGGAGACGGTCCCCGCCTCCCCGCCTGCGTCCGTCTCCGCTCTGCCTGCTGGGCGTCAGAACGGCCGTAGGTTTTCACGGTCCAGCTTCACGGCAGCATGCGGCACGGCACGAAATCTCGTCGGAGATTTTGACTCCTCGTAATCACGCAACGGGGCTCTCAGCGCCGAGCTTCGTAGTAACGCTCGCGGTAACGTTCACCTGCCGGTGTCTGTGACTGAGTCAGGGTCCTCGATACGTTGAGGTTATCAGCATCTGCAGTTGCTGTTAACAGACAACCTGCAAGATGTGGAGCAGAGCTGCCCAAACGTTTTACTCAAACCGCTGCCCTTGTTGTGGCCTCCCTCCGTAAACAGACGGAGGCCATGTGCACGGCAGGGTCACTTTTATTTTCACTGTGAACCTTAACCGGCCGGGTGGCTCAGCGGTAGAATGAGCGGCTGACAATCCAAAGCTTGTAAGTTCGTTGATGGTTGTCTCGGCCCATAATTCCTCCGGGCTCGATAAAATAGGTACCACTTTGTGGGGAGGTCAACAGTGGTTGTCCTAGAAATGTGAAATTTCCACCATGGATCTGCAGGGCTGTAAGCAGGAGATGAGCACCGCCTTGATGCTCATTTGAGCCGGAACTCACTCGGGCCTCGGGCCGGAATTCACTCGGACTCGGGGATGCAAGAGAACGAGGAAGGCATTGTTTTTGTGACCCCGAATCTTCCAGGATCCCCGACGGGTAAACACCAGCTGTGTGTGGCGCACACACCAGACACAGACCACCGCACGCAACCCACCTTTGCACCGAGCCCCCTGTGCGCGCGGTGGTTTAGGAGGGGCCCCAGACCCGTGGCGTGCAGAGGGCCCCTGGGTACCCCTCTCAGGCTGCTCCACGGCATCACACGGCAAGATGAACCTACACTCGGGGGGGCGCGGACGGACGGACGCACGGCCAGAGCTCAAGGGCGAGAGATATCTCCCCCGATGCCAGGGGGTGGGATGGGGTGAGGCGGTGGGGGGGGGGAAGGTAGGGAAATATTTTCCAGAGTTCAGCCCCGGGATGCTCCGGCTGATATCAGACAGTACAGTGTGGGCTTTACCTGCAAGACCTGGTTGGCGTGGCGTGTTGGTGCCCGTCGCCCAAGTTGCGGAAGTGCTGCTCCACGGGCGAGTCATCTCGCGGCTCCTCCTCCGTCAGCGCCAACTCATCGTTGTCCTCTTCGCTCCCTTCATCGCCACGGGGCCAGGCCATCTCCTCCTCGCTCACTGTGTCGCTCTCCACGCTCTCTCCCCGCTGCGTCGTCACGTACACCTCGTCCACGACGGAGCTGGGCTCGCACTCTGAAAAGTTTGTGGGCCCTCGCACCTGCAACGACGAGGACGCGGGCCATGGCGCCACCACAAGTCTCCACCCTCGCCCGTCCACGCGAGACCCTCGTACCATTCTTCGCATGCCTCGTCCAATCGGATGCCACGTTGACTTCCAAGTCAACCGCAACGTCTTCAAGATCAACCGTGGACTCGCTACCGCCTACCTCTCCCCTCTCATCTCACTCTAAACCCCTCGACTCAACTCTCCTACCTCTTCCCTCTCACCTCACTCTACTCCCCTCCATTCAACTCTACCTCTCCCCTCTCACCTCACTCTACTCCCCTCCACGCACTCTCCTGCCTCTCCCCTCTTATCTCATTTGTCTAATCTACAAATTGAAAGTCTTTCCGAAATCAGGCTAAACATTTTTAAATGACGTCATGGAAACTGTATGTTTGAGCAACATTTGCAGTGTATAGGCAATGCGACTAATGAAACTCTGTACGCCTCTGCACACATCGCTTACCTCCCCGCGAGCCCCTGGCTCCGCTGCAGGGCTGTCAAGAGGCTTCGTGGCGGTGGCACTGGTGGTGGTGGTGGTGGCGGCATGAGGGCACTGGTTGAGCCGTGGTTGCTTGACGAGCACTGCTGCACCAGTGAACATACAAGCAACAAGTAAAACCACCCACACCAGGCGCGTACTCTGATTCACATCACGATCCGACTACACAAACGACCGTGCGCGTTCAGAGCGCTGCGCGGGACCGGCACGTTACAGCCACAAGACGGACAAACCTTGCGGAGGCCTGTAGTGCCGCGGAGGAGCCACGGCCATCAGCGAAGCGACGTCAACTGCGACCGCCATCTTACCACGGTCGCCCTTCCTCTCCACCTTCCCTGCGACCTGCGCTCCCGCTCTCCATGACGTCTCGTTGTGCCCGATCACAGCACGGTCGACCTCGTCGAAATCAGCCGGAGCATTGCCAGTGGCCTGATGGCTGGGCTCCGCCGAACTTCTCGGTCCGCTTGCGTGAATTTCTGCAGCGGAAAATGATTTCCTTCCGCTCGTGTCTCCAAATTGACGTTGCCTCGGTTTCATTCCGGCAGCCCTCTGGCGGATCCCTTCATCCGCCTTACCCTCGCACTCCGGCTCTGTGTTGTGGCGTTGCTCGGCCGCATGGGTGTCGTGACGGCCGTCGTGGGTCACCAATCCCCGCAGCGTACCGATGCCGGCTTCGAAGCGGCGCTCCAACATCGTGGTGGTGGTGCCGAGCGCGTGCGGCACAAGTCTCGTGGTATCGCGTACGTCACTCCTGCGCCCTCCGAACGGACGCTCCCTGATCTCTCCAGCATCATCGTCCTCCTCGTCGTCGTAGGGGCAGCCCCGCTGGGCCGCTGTCCACTGAAACCCGTCTTCTGCTTCCGAGCTCACCTCAGGGCGGCTCACCGTGTTTCTGCGCACGGAACGGATTTCCACGTGGCCGCCTCTTGCGTCGGCGTGTGACCACGTCTGCCGAAGACTTGCCTCCTCTTTCGGTGAATCTTCCACCTGCGAAGAGCTGGACTCGAAGCTCACTTCAAACGCCACGCCACGCGGCACGTTGTACGCGTGGTAATTCCGGCGGCCCTCGCCTGCCTCGCGTCCAACGCGCGTTCCCTCCGGATCTCGCCCCGGCTTCTCCCTGGTTCCGTCGGACCGCTTGGGCGCCGGTCGTCCCTTCTGGCTGCCCGGCTCCACGCGCACATCCCTCGCTCCGCGTCGGCCAGGCTTGGACGCTGACCCCAGCTCGGCCGCTTGCCCGGCTGAAGCAGACCGAAGAGCGGCATGACGGGCTTGCTTCGTTGGGTCCGGGGCGTCCGTGACGTCGCGTGCTGCGATCCCCACGTCCGTGTCGCTCCGATAAGCGGTGGCGAGAGGCCGGGTGAGAGTTGGCGAGCCGCCCTCAGACGGAGAGACGGCGGCTGGCGGGGCATCGACGAGCGGACGCAAGCTGAGCGGAGAGCGGCGGGACGCGGGCGGTGGCCGCGTGCGGTGCCACTCCTGGTGACGGAAGATAAACGCACAATTGGTAATTCTTGGTGCAAATCAAAACTATCACCAAACCAAGCAATGAGGCTTATGGAACGTGTGTTTTTATAGCTATATACAGTGCACGTGCCCGTATACACGTGCAGAAGGCAAACGATCTCGCGAAGTGACGGCGAGTTCTAAGAGACACGTGTCGCTGTGCGCGTCCCGTGCCCGGTGCCGCCGGACCGCACCGCCAAGTCCTGGCGCAGGGTGAAGTGGACGTCGCTCAGGGTGAGAGAGCGCTCCCGGGCGGCCACGACCGTCCCCGCGCGCACCACGTCCAGCCACGGTTCCGGCAAGGACCGCTCCACAGGCATCTGCTGCCCCGACACCAGGAGCTTCTTCACAAATGGATCGTCGATCTCGGCCCAGGGCAGGCTGTCTGCGGACGACGACACGGGGAGTTTAGCCAGCGCCGCGCCCTGCCCCCGCCACGCACCGGCTCGCGCCGTCGCCGACAGGAGCACGAAGGATTCGTTCATCTTGCGCGATCGCTACGGGAGCTACAGGACCCCCTCCCCGTCACGGACGGCCAGGCGGACGGAGCTGATGCATAAACACTTACGGCATCAGGTGGAAAGCATTTCAAAACACTACACTGGGTGCTCATCGAACACCTTATGAACAGCTTGCCTCTGCTGTGACAGAGCCTGATTAAGTGTAAACGCCGCAGGCGATGGATGCCCAGTGCACACAATCCTTTACCTGACACTCAACAAAACGCACAGCTCTAACACAAAAGTGAAAGGAAACATCCAAACAAGAGAGTGCGGCGAGGCCCATATGCCAGGTGCTCAATGGCTCGTTCCATCAGATAAAGTGTTGTATTGTTCGCCGTAATGGTTCCATAGCAAACGTCTGTCCCTGGGTGACGATGCTGCCCATAAACTCGGGTCACCGTGAAAGGTGAACGTGGCCGTGTATGCAGCAAACCCCGCACAACTCCAATATTTAGTCATTCCGCTCACCCAGGACAGCCTCCACGAATCTCAAGACTCTTATTCACTGAGTGAACACAACACTGAGTGAACACAACACAGAGTGAACACAACACTGAGTGAACAAGAGACTCGAGATCCTGCACCGCCCTCTGTTGTCCACCACGTATACCCCCGGCCTATAACATCCTGGCATGCACGATGATCGCTCAACCAAGCGCTATCCAGGCTCAAGCCCGCTTAGATTGTGAGATCGGACGTGATCGGGCGTGTGCCACGACCTCTATCACTGCACTGTTCCACACCTCGTGCGCTGCACTCTTTGATGTATTTCTGTATATGTACAGTACAACCTCGGAGATCGAACGCCCCAGAACTCGGAATTCGGTGATCGAACAAAATTTTCGACCATTTTTTGCCTCGAACATCGAACAAAAATTCGGAGGTCGAACAACTTGAAAGAAGCTGCGTGGGCCGAGACGCGTAGCCAGGGCGACCGAGACGCATAGCCATGGCGACCGAGACGCGTAGCCACGGCAACCGAGACGCGTAACCATGGCGACCGAGACGCGTAGCCATGGCGACCGAGACGCGTAGCCATGGCGACCGAGACGCGTAACCATGGCGACCGAGACACATAACCAGGGCGACCGAGACAAAGGCGAATGATCCAGTTTACGCGTAGCTCTTGCCCAGTGCAGACCCGCCAAAAACATCGTTCCGTTCACTTTTTCCTCACCGCCTTCCACTCAAGCCATCCACTCTCCTTACTACAGGGAAAGTGAAGTTCAATGTTCATTTATTCTATTAATTATAACTGTGTTTCTTGTTTTTTGTATGCTTTTATGTACTGTACTGTATTTTAATATTGTAAACTTTGTGCCAAAAAGGCCCATAATAGGAGCATCCTTGGGTGGGGAACCAATTAATGCCATTTCCATTCATTCTTATGGGGAAAATTGATTCGGTGTTCGAACAAATCGCTGTTCCAACACGGTTTTGGAACGAATTAAGTTCGATCTCCGAGGTACCACTGTATTTGTTTTCGCTCCGAAGAAACTGGAACCTTGATGCAAATAACGAAGAACGTTCGGAACCTGAAAATATCTCGTAGACGATGGTGCAGTAGCTGTAGACGTCGGACTTGGCGCTGATGTTCCTGCCCTCGAGCACCTCCAGCGGCAGCCAGCGGTGCAGCGCGGGCGGCAGGAGCCGTTCGGGCCGCGCCCGGTCCCCGGGCCCGCTGCAACCGCACGGCAACGGCCTCAGCACTCGCCACCGCCCCCCGCGCGGTCGCCCCGTGTTTACCGCCCCACCACCTCGTACAAACGCAACTCCCTCCGTCAATCCACTGCTGGACAAAGGCCTCTCCACGCCGTTCCGGTCACGGGGGTTGTCTTTTTACGCGCGTATGTATGTTGCATTTATTTCGCACCGTACGTAGCCAACCGTGCTAATTGGAATGTGCGGGGAAAGAGAACAAACTAAACACAAAAAGCAGTTGACCACAATGGCGAGGTGGGGGGGGGAGGGTCGGAGGCAGCCAGGACCGTTTAGAATATCGCTCGCCATCGATGTTAGCCGTCGCAGGGAAGCGAACTCAGGTCACTGGGTTCGTACTGAAGCTTGGTAACCGCTGCACCACCGTTCCTTCGCTGAGTATGAATTACGATTCGTCAGAGTAGTGCGGGTGAAATCTCAAACGACTGCAGGGGTCACGAGAACCCTTTACGTACCACGCAGACAAACGTAACGCGACCGTTTCTCGCGTACGACGACCGGGCGAGCGCGTCGCGAGCGTAACGATTGGTCGCGATCGGTGCTTCGTCCCACGCCGAGCGTAGCAGGTCCAAAGAGAGAGACCGAGGAATTCGCCGCGGGGGAGGCCGCACCTGGGCATGGCGTACTCGAGGCCGGAGAGCTTCGCGGTGTCGGGCGAGACGAGATGCACGGCGTGCGAGGACAGCCCGGCGTGCAGCACCCCGCGATTGTGCAGGAACCGAAGCGCCGTGCACACCTGCAGCAGCAGCCGCAGGATCGTCTCGTGGCACAGCACGGGGAAGTCCAGCTTCTGTGCGGCCGGGAGGAGAGGACACGGGGAGAGAGAGAGAGAAAGCCACGCCGCTCAGGAAGATGCGCGGGTTACGTACGGCATGAACGACGCCTTAAAGCGGTGGTTCTCAACACGGCTGTGGCATGGAGGGCGCAGGTTGCGGCATGGATACCGTGCAGGAGAAATTTCCAATGTGCGTCGGGAACGTCCGCGTTACGTTGCGGTAACACAACACGCGGATATACCGCCAAACCAATAACGTTGAGGACCACTGCCAAAGAGAACGATGCAGCCCAAATATTGAACAGTTTTTATCTTGTGGATACGCGCCTTCATTACACGTGTCCTGGGTTGTCCAACATGGGTCTTAAGCTTCGTCCATGAGAAAAACATTTACTTAAAATATCAAGGCCACCTTTTTATCATTGTGACATCATTGCACTGATGTTGTATTCAAATTTAGAGGAGCCATATTACAATGCCATCACTCAAGTGCCATGATGGCGCACCTAAGTTAACCAAGCTTCCAATCTCACGTTCCAGAGAGTAGGTTGGTATCTAAGTGAGCTATTTGTTCCGCAGGTTTACCGTCCTTTAAAGATGCACCAGTGGACCATTGCAGTGCAATGGTCCACTGGTGCAGCATCACGTGCTGCTGCTCTCTCTAACCCAGGGCGCACTTGTAAAACAGAGAGGCAATGCCTCAGTGGGTTTATTTAATCTTCTGGTTAAGTGAACGGACTGAGGAGCACAAGCTATGGGAGAGAGGGGCGCACACACAGACACACGCCCACCCTCTCATGCAGCACGGAGTAGAGGGATCCCAGGCGGACTCGCTCGAACACGAGTCTCGGCGAACGAAGTCCATCCACGAGGCTGACTCCCATGAGCAGCAGCAGCTCAGGACAGCGCAGGCCCCTGGAGACACGACACACGCGCACGACATGCACCCTCAGCAGAACTATTACGCGTGCGGTTGTGTCTGGCGGCGACCAGCCGGGACCACCGGGCTAAGGGGGTCGCTGAGCGGGACCGATTACCCCGGTTCGATCGCTCCACTGATTGGACAAAGCAAAAACAGCCGAGTGGAACAAAAAAAACGTCGCCTCTGTTGCCACATTGTGCCGCTGGACGGGAGGAGACGGACGGCGGTTGGCGACGTAGTCGACGTCGTCAGGCGCGTCACGTAGTCGACGACAAGTTTTGGTCGATCAAACGTCTCCGTGGACTTCACCTGTAGGCCTCCTGCTCAGCCACGAGCAGGTCCGCCAGACGCCTCGCCCTGCCTTTCTCTCCCTCGGGCCGGACGTCCCGGACGGTCACCTTGGTCCCACTCCACACCAAACTGCAACGATGAGCGGCCGTGTCAGGCGATCCCCTCCTCTGCGATTATTTGAACCGCGCACAGCAAAGGCAATGCTGAGGCGGCGCCAGCGTGACTCACCTCGTCATGAGCGTGTGAGGCCCGTTGGCGTAGGACACGTGCCGGTCGTTCTCGTTGTGGTACAGCTCGTTTTGGGGGATTATGGGAAGGAACGCCGCGTACCCCAGGCTTCCCCTGGGTCCCGTGCAAACCTAACAGGGAACGTCCAGTGGAAAACCCATGAATGGCAAAATGATCAGCATTACCATCCCATACAGACTCACCATCCCACACAGCCTCACCATCCCACAGTCTCACTATCCCACAGTCTCACCATCCCACACAGCCTCACCGTCCCATACAGCCTCACCATCCCACACAGACTCACCATCCCATAGCCGAGGTTTTCAAGACGGAGGCATGAGCGGCTCCGTGCGTCCAAGGCTCCCAGCTGCTGCTCCTCCTCCTGTCCCCTGCGATAAATTGCCACTCGGTGACCACTGACCAGCTCCTGAATGCCCGCGCAGGATTCTACAAACGCCACCGTAAAGGCTGAGATAACGATCGGCTCTCGTGTTGTTGTTGTCGTTGTTTGGGAGTTACTTGAATCTGAGGAGGCGGCGTAGGGAGGAGTGGGGTACGGCGAGAGCGGCGTGCCGCGGCGACTGCGGCGCTCCGCTCTGGCACGTCCGCCCGGTGGCGTGGCTCCCCAGCCGCAGCATCTCGCTCCAGCAGTGACCCAGCAGCTCCAGGACCTGCCAGACACACGCTCAGACGGTGACGCGGCCCAGCAATGGCACATTTACCGCTTGGTTTGCCAGAGGTCCGCGGTTCAGATCCGGTAGGCCACCCCAGTGTATTAACCGTGCGATCAGGCGCCGCCTGCTTCGTTGTGGATGTTGACGGTCCGAAATGAGTACGCCATCGTATGCAGGCGTGACGGTCCATATTTGCCAAATTTGAAAATGTGCCATGAAAAACTCAATTAGGGTTACAAAAAGTAACGTCACACCAAAGCTACTGCAGACTGTGTGCAGACGTTTCAGCAAATCTGGCTATCTGCATGATGCTGGTTGCAATTACTGGCGAAAAGTTTAACTCAGATTGTAAATGTTTCGGATTTGCTCTCCAACACACCGGTGTGCTGTACTAGTAGCGAATTGGAATGTCCTGTTTATGTGACAAACCTTACTAATTGGCTGTGTCGGGTGGTGGCGGGTTTAACGACACATTTATATTTACGTGATCTAACCCAAAAAACCTAAATCATGCATTATACTGGTCGCGAAAGCCTACGTGCTAAACTGTGAGTGAAACATTGCACTTTCGTGGTAGCCTTCCGCTAAAAGAATGGCGGGAATACCGAACGTGCTGATGAATACTTTTACTGCTCCTGTGCTCAGTGGCTGAAGCCCAGCATGCACTGAGAGCCATGCTTCCAGACAAAACGGTTCCTCGCGGATGCTGGCCATATCCGTGTTTCCAGAAGTAAGCAAACATGGTTCCCGGAGAATTCCTGGGTTTTACTTTGCTGAATTTCTCAAAGAATCTTCTCCCAGTCACTCACAGACTGGAGTAGGTGGCACATGGCGAGCGGCAGCAACAGCCGTAGACAGAGCCGACTGAAGTTAATCCTCGTGCGAGCCCACGAGGGCACGGCATCCGCCCCGCGCGCGTGTCAAAGGAGCTGCCGCGCCGCAACGTGAGTCAGAGGAGACGCTTCCAGATTGCCGCGGTCCCGCACGCCACCGTCTCACTCACGCTCTGGTTGCGAGGCCCCGCCTCCGCGGCCCAGTCCGCTGGCGAGCGCCCGCCGCGGTCGTGCAGCCGCAGGTCCCCGCCGGCGCCCAGCATGGCCAGGAGCAGCGGCACGCAGCCCGAGAAGGCCGCCGCGTGCATCGGCGTCGCCCCGTCCTCACTTCGGCTAAGGGTGAAGGGGAACGGGGCCGGCGGGTTTCATCGCGGCTTCGCCACCGGCGAGGAGATACGTCAATGGGGCTGATCTCACCAGCAGGCTTGAGCCTGCTTAGGCGATGACTGTAGAGAATGTATCTTGAAACTATCTATGGAGAGCTATGGGTATTGGTGGGTGGGTTTCCTCCGTGTATCTGGTTTCCTCCCATGCGCCAAACTCTTTGTTCAATGAATTGGACAAACATGAAAATGGAGGACACTGAAACAAAACTCATAAGGGTTTCATGGGTAAAAGGGATTATTGCTGTTCAGTTGATCCAATCCAATATTTTTTTTACTTCATATTGACTCATAACCAAAGACTCGCATAAACACCGATGATCGACGGCATCTTTACATGCGGTCACATCTAGATGCTACAAAAATCCACATTGTGTTGCATGCACACGTGTGCGGTGGAGCCGGAGCCATCACGCACCGGTTGGGGTCGGCCCCACAATGCAGCAGCTGCTCCACCGCTTGGCTCTGCCCCGTGATGGCTGCCATGAATAGGGGCGTCTGCCCATCGTCGTTGGGGAGGTCAGGGTTTAAACCTGCGCACGACGCGAAGCAGGAGGATGGAGACATCGCTCACAGCACCAACAAGAGACAGGCCCTATACGGGCAGGGGTTGGCACGAGATGGCTGAAAAAAAAATCTGTTTTTATTTGATAGGAAACCAACCCCTCAGCTTGCTGTGCCTCCCTCCCGCCACCCTTGCGAGCGGCAGGAACGGTCATCAATGGCGAGGAGCGGCTGCGTGAGCAGCACTCCAAGCCGGCTTCGCGCTCAGGAGGCACAGCTCCAACTCCTCATCGGGGCTGGTTGGTCCAGACACTTTAGAGCCCATTTCGTAAGTTGGAAACTATAGAAATGATCCCTGAAAGTATAGTCTTAGTGAGAACACGTCGGCCAAGCGCTATATGTAGTCAGGTACACTACCTCTACGCTATGGGGTACTGTGTGGTTTCCCAGCTCGGCAGGGTTATCACCTAAACATATTAAACTTGTTCAATGTCAACATCAACTGGAATTAAACATGTTTATATCACCTGCAAAGTCAACGATGTAAAGGCTAAAAGCAGTTTACTACAACTGTGCTAACGGTGAAATGCATGGTGGGAGTCGCCTCTCGACCTGGACCACGAGGCGGCGCTGCTCGAAGAGTTCAGAGCGTGGGTCAGGTGATGACAGCAGTTACATTTACTGACTTTAAAAAGTAACAGATAAAACACGCACGCCTGTCTGCAAACGCGTGGCTAAATAAACTAACCCGTATAAACAAGGACAATAAAACAACGCAGGGCCGCTGCCGTGTCTTTGTCGCCACAATGCCGTGACTCGGATTCGAACCGAGGTTGCTGCGGCCACAACGCAGAGTACTAACCACTATACGATCACGGCGAGCTACGCGGCCCGCTTGGCTCCACCTCCAGGCAAAGAGCTCTCTTGATGGCCTCAAGCATCACGTCAGACTCACTCAATGGGCTCGTCCGACGTTGTATCGGAATACTGCTGCTGATCTTAGTACGGCAGACTGTCGATTATCCGCGTGCGGTGTATCCGATTTGCGGATAAACCGCGCGCCTGATAATTTGACATGAATTAATAACTCGTGGATTTCCCCTTAAGGCTAAATTAATAATCTAACAGTAATACATTGTTTTTCTTGGAAATGTTCATTACAAGTCACGTGCTTAAACCGAACAAATATGTGCTCCGGTTAGTTCGAAAGCCACGTGATCGCCCCTAGAGTGCAGTAGTTGCAAATCTTTACAACAGTGGGTGGAGTCTGATGTAGATTGGCGTGGTTCTGATATTCATTTAGTGGGCAGAGTCTTCTGCGCGGGAGCATGAAAGTGTTGTCACTGAGCATGCACATCGATTGGTAATCTACGCCTATATTCGTGGTTTTCGGCATTAAGATGCGCAAACAATTTCTATTTCTGGATTATCCACGATTGAGAATTGTCCTCGACCGACCTCCCCGTCATTAGCGCGGATAATCGAGAGTCTACTGTACCTGTAAATATGTCGTGGTCTTCATAAAAATTATTTTACAGAACAACGTTTTGATCAAATTTCCAACCCTTTTCTGAAAAGGTAGATAAGATCCCCAGCGAGTGACTAGTAACGTGGAATAAGAGGCGATTAAGAGAGCTCTTTGTATGGAATGAAAGCAGCAAGCCCGCGTGGCTCGCCGTGATCGTATAGTGGTGATGGCATGTGCCATCACTCACTTTTCACAACTTTCTTAAAGCTTAAAAAAATAGCAATGCTGTTTCACGGAGCGGTGGGCTACACGGCCCGTTTCCATCACGTCGCTGTATCCGCCGGGCATGCCATCGTTTGGGATGAAACTTGATTCAGTCACGATTACAGAAATAATTTTCGTCATCTGTCTTCGTATGCCGAGAAAAGTAACTATTTGACCGCCATTACATTACCGTGAGCGCCTCCAACGGAACAGGCATTTGCAATACATTTTTGAGTGCAAAAATCTGATTTTGTTTAGGATAAGAAACCAACCCCTCAGCTTGCTGTGCCTCCCTCCCGCCACCCTTGCGAGCGGCAGGAACGGTCATCAATGGCGAGGAGCGGCTGCGTGAGCAGCACTCCAAGCCGGCTTCGCGCTCAGGAGGCACAGCTCCAACTCCTCATCGGGGCTGGTTGGTCCAGACACTTTAGAGCCCATTTCGTAAGTTGGAAACTATAGAAATGATCCCTGAAAGTATAGTCTTAGTGAGAACACGTCGACGCAGCGCTATATGTAGTCGATAAACCTCGCTCTACGCTATGGGTATTGCGTGGCTTCCCGGCTAGGCATGTTTAGCACCTAAACATATTCAACGCGTTCAGTGTGTAAACATTAAATGTAACATGTTTAATCACTAATGCGATCAATTACTTGCAGAGACAACAAACGATGTAAACGATAAAGGTAGTTTACTATTACTGTGCTAACGGTGAAATGCATGATGGGAGTCGCTCCTCGCTGCTGCCAACCTGGGCCACGAGGCGGCGCTGCTTGAGGAGCTCAGAGCGTGGGGCTTTGCGTCGTCGTTACATTTTATGACTTCAAAATATAAAAAAAATATTTCAAAATTTCTCAAAACTTAAAAACATAACATACACAATTTTTTTTTATCATTACCTCATTAATTAAAATAAAACCCAACAAACGGTGGAAATATAAACTTACGCTCGCGCGCCAAGATTCGATTCTTTAAATCGAGCAAAGGAATCGAATGTTGTAGATTTCTTTAGAATCGGCCTATTCCCGTTTAATCGATTCCACAAACGCTCACCAGATATCGATTCTTGCCAGTCCTGTATGCGGGTTGACGCCAAACACTTCATGGTCATCACCCCCCCCCCCCCCCCCAAAAAAAAACCTAAAGTTTATTTTTATACGTTTTACCTTGTGTAGAGTATGGGAGCTAGCCACATGGCAAATTAAAAGTTTGTAGCCTATTATATTATATCCATTATAACCCCCCCCCCAGCCGCGCATTTGTGCAGGATACAGGGCCGACGCGGAGGGTTTGGGGGGGCAGGGGATGCGTGACGTCAGCAGGCACACTGCGTAACGCTGCCGCATGCGGGTGACATGACAGAGTTGTGACGTCACCGCTCACTTGCGTGCAAAATATATCCATTATTGCACCCCCCCCCCCAAAAAAATATATTAAAGTCAATTTTTATACTTTTTGCATTGTGTGCAGTCTGGAAACTACCCACATGCAAAATTTCAAGTTTGTTGCATGTTGGGAAGGATGCTAAACATTTCGAACAGATACACACATTCACAAATTTCCCTTTTATATAGAAAGAAAAAAACACAAATCCCTGACAGCGCACGCGTTGCGAAATGAACCCACTGCTACAAACCAAGATAGTAAAACAATGCAGCCTGCTGCCGTGTCTTTGTCGCCACAGTGCCATGGCTCGAATTCGAACCGAGCTTGCTGCGGCCACGACGCAGAGTACGGTACAAACTATTCGATCACGGCGAGCTACGTTCATTACCTATGAAGAGCTCCCTTAATTGCCTCTTCCCTCATGTCACAAAAATCACTCGCTGGGGATTTTTATCTACCTTTTCCGAGAATGGTTTGGAAAGTTGATGAAGGAGAAAGGCAAAACGTTGATTTCAAGAGCAGGACATGTATTTACATTAACTTGAATCAGCAGCAGTATTCCAGTCTGGCGTGATGCTTGAGGCCATCAAGAGAGCTCTTTGCCGTGGGTGCATCCAGCAGGCTGCGTAGCTCGCCGTGATCGTATAGTGGTTAGTACTCTGCGTTGTGGCCGCAGCAACCTCGGTTCGAATCCGAGTCACGGCATCGTGGTGACAAAGACACGGCAGTGGCCGCTCTACTTTTGTGCACGTGCCATAACTCACTTTTCACAATTTTTTTTAAAGTTGAAAAAAATAGCAATGCTGTTTCACGGAGCGGTGGGCTACACGGCCCGTTTCCATTACCTCGCTGTATTCGCGGGGCATGCCATCGCTTGGGATGAAACGTGTTTACCTCGGCAATTCAACTGGTACGATTCAGTCGCGATAACAGAAACAATTTTCGTCTCCGTCTTGCTCTTTCAAGAAAAGGAACTATTTGACCGCCCCATGGATGCCATTACATTACTGTGAGCGCTTCTAAAGGGAACAGCATTTGCAATATATAGGGTGTTTAAAAAGGATGGACCCGATTTTAAATCGCTATATCTCTGTAACCACGAACCGCCCATGAATGAAACTCTTACCACTTGAAAGGTGTGGGGCATAGAGTTTCAAATGGTTACCGCGAGATGCCTCTCCCAGCGCACTAACAGCCCCTAGCCTCAATCATTCGCGAGACGGTGACCCCGCAACACAAGGGGCGTTTTGCGTTCTGCAGTTCAGCAAGACTGAATCCGTAATTGCGGTGCAGCGTTGCGTTTCAACGGCGTTTTTGGCATTGATCCGCCAATGTCAAAGATCATTCGTCGTTGGTGCCGACACTTTGAGGAAACAGGCTGTTTATAAAAGGGGAAGAGCACAGGGCAATCACGAAGAAGACACTTTGAGAGGTATTTGGGACGAATTCAACTATCGTCTCGATGTTGTCCGTACAGCAGGTGGAGGGCACGTTAAACCGTTGGTAACTTTTAGTGTAATTGCAACATGTCGCCATCGGGAAATATACTGCTTTGAATTTGCGTCCATCTTTTTCAAACACCCTGCATTTGAGAGTAACATTTAAAATGCATTTGAGAGTAACATTTAAAATTGTGTTAGCTCTGCCAAAAACCCCTCAGCTTGCTGTGCCTCCCTCCCGCCACCCTTGCGAGCGGCAGGAACGGTCATCAATGGCGAGGAGCGGCTGCGTGAGCAGCACTCCAAGCCGGCTTCGCGCTCAGGAGGCACAGCTCCAACTCCTCATCGGGGCTGGTTGGTCCAGACACTTTAGAGCCCATTTCGTAAGTTGGAAACTATAGAAATGATCCCTGAAAGTATAGTCTTAGTGAGAACACGTCGGCCAAACGATATATGTAGTCAGGAATGCTCGCTCTACGCTATGGGTACTGTGTGGTTTCCCAGCAGGCAGGTGTTACCATCTAAACATATTAAACTTGTTCGGTGTATCAATATTAAATGTAACATGTTTCATCACTAATATTATCAATTACTTACAGAGACAACAAACGATGTAAACGATCAAAGTAGTTTACTATTACTGTGCTAACGGTGAAATGCATGGTGGGAGTCGCTCCTCGCAGCTGCCAACCTGGGCCACGAGGCGGCGCTGCTCGAGCAGCTCAGAGCGTGGGGCTGTGCGTCGTCGTTACATTTTCTGACTTCAAAAT